AACCATAACGCCTACACCCGACACCCCCAAACCCTAAAGCCCTAAACTCAGAACCATTCTCACATCTCTGGTTTGTGGTAGAATGGTCACAACCCATCGATCGTAGTTCCCACATTGCTAGCACCATACCATATCATAGGCAATTAAGACTTGAACAAGGCTGCTCATCAGGAAATTTCAGACCCCAGATAGAAACTTGCAATTGTAATGGGCCTCCCACTTTGCACCCTTTAGGACTTAGGCCTTGTAATAATATGCTAGTCAGATACTAGAGTGCTAAGATCGAGAGTCGATGTCTCGATGTCAAGACTCTGTCTGTGCCGAAGATCCAGCCACGGTATTCTGTATGTGGTGCATTGGATCGGGCCAAGACAAAGCTGGCCCAACATATGACAGATGGTCTGCTTGGCACTTAAACCATCGACAGACTGATGGAGAAAAATCAAGTGGTGCAGCTGCATGACAGTGATGTCACGCAGTGGACGAAGTGATGCCCACATGCCGGTCAACCACTGGCTCATGCCACATCCTATTGGGGACCCCCCCCTGCTCCCACCAACGTAGGTATAAGCTGCCCTTATAAGTACAGCCCAAATAACGATCCCAGCCCTAGCTAGCTAGAGATTCGGAGCAGCCATTGAAGTCGTGGGGTTGACCAATACATGTACAATGTCAAGCTAGAATTAGGGTAAACCCTTTGGGGTTTAGGGTTATGGGTTGTTTATATTGAAACTAAAGCTAGAGATACCCCATGCGCGCATTCATGCTTGTGGCTTTATAGGCCATGTAAGATTGGTGGGGCTGATCCGAATTAATTCGAACATAATCAATAATTCATTGGATGCTACGAACCACAACCCTGAAATGCAATAAGCCGAAACCTATGCCAGGCAACCATTGGGTGATATAGTAGCCAAACCTCAAAACAGTTCAACTCCAAATCACAATCTTGAGAATGGGGGGACTTACCATCCGAAGACTCAAGTTTGGGTAGTTTCAGTAGTTGGACCCCTCAGAAGCACTTCAACCCCAGACCCACACTTGGCTTCACGTTGTGGGAAGCCCTCTGTCTAAACCCTATGTACAGATCTGAAATCCTAATATAGTGTCTTAATGCACCCACCCTTAACCGCTACCTCAGCCTGCAACCTTGGGTCCCTGTCTAGCTCCCTATATAACCCACGGCCACGACTTTTATAACCAGTACAAGCAATAATAAGGTGGCGGTGTCAAAGGTCCGTCACATTGAATTCAGGTTGTAGGGGCAGCGTGATCATGAGTATGTCGAAGCAAATAATCAGTTGTCAATATGTAGCCATGTATGCCTGTAAAAATTTAATCGTTGAACCCATATGTCATGGTCCGAGTGCAATGCAATTGCAGTATAATTAAATACAATAATGAATATATGCATACTATGGTAAAGCTATGGCCAAATGTATACCCTAGTAACAATAATATGCTCTCCCAAATAATATAATAACATACAGACTACCCTAACCCCCTAAACCCCCTAAGTCCCCGCCTCGGCCCTCTAAACACCCTAAAGCACCTAAACCCTCAACCCCAAACCCCCAAACCCCCAAACCCTAAACCCACATCCGAAACCCTAATCCCTAGCCTAAACCTTAAACGCTAAGCCCTAGACCCTAAACTAGGTCCCAAAGTCTCGGAATCCCAGGTGGCGAGATTGCTGCCCTCGGCAATGGATTTGCAGAGGCTGCTTCAGCAGCTGCGAGGTGGCACCCTGCAGGTGCCGAGGTTGCAGGGTTTATTTGTGGACTTCAGCATTGGCAGACCCACTCATGTACCAATCAAATTCTGAGGTACCTGAGCTACCTCCGGATTGTGACAACTGGAAAGAAGCTGACTTGGAGCCTGTAAAGGAATATCTTTTGGGAGCGGTTGTGGAAGGAACTTTCAAGCCGGATCCGAATGTTCCTTGGGACACGAAACCCATCATGTGATTACGCCTAGATCTGGACTGCAGGGACATGTATAGGAATCGTGGATTGGGTTTAGGGGTCTGCTGGCCTGCCTGGATGGATATTCTTCCGCTTTGACTGCACCATGACCTCAGATCAGGCAGAGGGTGTGATAGTAACAGGACTTTGTAGTATATAGCAGTAGTATAGTGGTGGTGGTAGTAGCACTTGCAAGCTATATACAATCTAGCCATAGGATCCGGAGTAGGAGTAGGAGTGCTTGTAGCAATCGTAGTAATAGTACTCGAACTCCGAAGCAGCATTTGTTTAACAACATCAGCTAGTACCATTATATGGTTGAACCGAAGCTAGTTGTGAGGTGGCAGCAGTGGACTAGTAGTAGCAGCAGTAGTAGTAGTAGTAGTAGTAGCAGTAGCAGTAGCAGTAGCAGAGGCAGTAGCAGTAGTTGTAGCAGTAGCAGCAGTAGTAGTAGTTGTTGTTGTACTAGTATACTAGTACTACTGTCGATTGTGCAGTAGATGTAGCAGTAGCAGCAGCATTTGTTGTTGATTTCCACTGGGTGGAGAACCGGATACGCTTATTAACTAGCAATACGATATAGCTAAATATGTATAACATATATTATCGCTATATATTAATACATATATATTATATGTGTGTGTACATATATACAGCAGTAGTACAGGTGGCAGTAGTATGCATATTATTATTAGCAGATACTATTTGTCGTCGTAGTAGTGGTAGCAGTAGACAATTATCACAAGTTAATTATAATTAGTTATTATAATAGAAGTAGTCGCATGCAATGTGACAGGGTATTATCCGGATCCAAGTGCTAGCAGAGGTGGCTGCTTCATGAATGTGGATCCTGAGATCATGGTGCAAGCAGCTGGTGCAGTGCATAGAACCGAAGTGTGCAAAGCTCAGCCCGGGCTGAGAAATGGAGCTGATATCCAGTTTATAATGATTAACCCAGCATTCCACAAGGAATACAAGGAACAAAGGATTATATTGGTATAGCACATGTACAGGTAGAATATGAAGTACATTGAATTATAACCAGCAATGTGATAATAATAGCAATATATACAAGTATCGAGTATGATCATAAGATATGGCATATAGGTATCTGCACATGCATGTATAACGTAGAGCTCTACATGTGCAGATACCTATATGCCATATATTATGATCATACTCGATATTTCGAGCATTGCTGGAATGTAGTAGCATAGCTATAGTGGTACCTTCGAAGTACACACCGAACCTGGGTACCTAGCAACTTTATGTCCATGTTGCAACACAGAGGGTTTGGTATATCCGGTTTATGTCCCGATCACACACGACCCGGTACCTCCCTGCCAGGGCTTCTCCACTGATGGGATGAACAATGTGATTCAACGAAAGTACAGTAGCTACAATCGTACTCGATTTGCTTTGATCGACCGATTGATATCTCTTCACTGCCTCAAAGCAATGCAATACAATCGGGAAACCTGAGAACACCTGTTTAGTTGCAGTTGTGTCTGGTCCAAATCCCAAATAGTAGGGTTTTAGATACCGAAATCCATCTATGAATGGGTTGTAGATCCTGAAACCCTACTATTTAAGTACTTGGACCCTTAGGGTTGTGTATTTATACGAACACCTAGGGCCACGATTTATGTAAGAGCATAAATATACATAGTATCCTCAGCAACATGGAGCGTAACTAAGCGTAACTTGGCGTAACTTTGGCGTGACTCTATATTGCCAAAAACCATTCCTGGAGAGGTCTTTCGAATATAGGCGTGACTCCCCCGTAACTCCGCGTAACTCTGTGTAACTGTGCATCCTCGTATATTGTCATTTGGGCTGAAACCTTCCCTGGAAGGCTTTTCTTAGAAAGATATAGGCTAGAGTGCTCTGGCCTCTTCGAGTCGGGTGCCGATGCCTAGCCTTAGCAAGCATGCTCCGAATCGGAGTGCTCCCTATCCTGCTTCGAATGGGCCTCCTGTTCGAAGAGTTGCTCGGATGACTATATGCAGGCTTATGTTATTACAATCGACATCAGCTATTCTGAAGTGAATACTATATAATATTACTACATGCTATCGAGGCTTCCTCGCGGGACTTGGATGTGTCGGCCGAGGTGGCAGCAGCTCTAGGCCGGAGGCTTCCACATATGTACGGCATGCATGCACATCTCTCATCAGGATCCTCGAAGTCTGTGTCTTATGTGTGCACATGTGCATGCATTCATGATATTCGATCTAACCTTAAAGTTTCGACTGTTGCAATTGTAGGCCAGCTGCACAAGACATGAAGCTTTAATTTTAAATTCCCAAACACCAAACCCTAGGCCTTGAAACCCTGAATCCTACACCCAAAAAAACTTTAACCACAAAAACCCTGAAACCCTGTAGCTTATATGTTAGTTCCCTGCAACCTGATAGACTATATGTGGGTCTGCTGTGCAGGCAAGAAGGCACGAGCTCCCACGGTGGCAGCCGCTGTACCGAAGAGTGGAGGTAAGATGGTGGCAACACCAGCATCTGCACGGCAAGCCTTGCAGGGCGACGGATCTGGTGGCACCCCTGTGAGGAGCCCTCCTTGCAAAAAAACGAAGTGCCCCCCTCCGATCCGACATAGTGCTAGTGGCTTGTCCGATGCAAGCAACGGCTCGCAGCAGGGAAACCCGGCTAACTAGCATCAGTTCTCTAATATCTTTATAGTAATTATAATACTTACAAATTAAGTAGCAATAAACAATAGCATGTATTATAATAGCTATATATATATATACATACAATTATTATAAGACATCATCTCGAACATGTTTTCGCTGTATAATAATTCAAATACGAATACTAGTTTAGATCTATTACAGCGTAGAGACTGTCTTCGGTGCCAGTGATGTAAGATCTAGATCATCTGAGATTGTGGAGCCGAGTATGTATACTAAATTAGGCCTGGGGGGGAGAGAGAGGGAGAGACAGAGAGAGAGAGAGAGAGAGAGAGAGATCGAGAGTGGGAGAGTGATGTAGCCGAGGCAAGGTCAAAGATATTGGCCGCATGGACACCCAGTCCACAATGCCGTGGGTGGGAATCGGAAGCCAAAGCTCCCCAGAACCGAAGGAGAGGCAGGTGCTGCTACTTGCGGACCTACTTCAACTTGACAAGGATGAGCTCGGGCAAGCATTGTTTTTCCCCACGGACAAATGGCATCTGGGACCAGGGGCAGCTAGCTTCCGGGAGTACATTCTCAACGACCTGGTGGATGACTTTGCTGAGCCGATGGTGGACACAGCAGATGGGCGCAATGTGGAGGCCTTGATGCAGGTGTACAACATAACTGTTGAACTGGTCAGGGAAGCCAAGAAAGCAGCTGCTGTGCAGGATGAGTTCCTGTCGAAAGGGTATGCTTCAGTCAAAAGCACAGCCGAGAAATCGGTGCAGAAGGTGCTCCAAGCTGCAGCAGCAGAGGCTGACAAAGAAAAGGCGCAGCGCAAGCAAGTAATGGCTGAGCGATGGCTTTCAAGGGAGATGGAGGCATTGAACCTGAGGCGTGATACTGTGACCGTTCAGGCTGCAAAAGCTGCTTCGTATGCAGCTGCCAAAGTTCATGCCCTGATCGGGCACTTGAGGACGACAGGTATGCTGTCCCAGGTTTTCTTTGAGTCTATGGAGTCCTGGCAGGAGATGGATTCGACGGTTTCCTTGGCTCAGCATGTCAAGCATGCAGAGCTGCCTGTTTCTGGAGAGAATATCCCGGAGACGATTCCCGAGGTGGAAGAGACATTACAAGAGCAACCGTTTCCGGAGGGCAACGATGGACAGCGAGCCGATGATGTTATGAGTCCACCCCAGCAGAGCAATGGGCAACCAGCTGAGGCAGTGGCAGTGCAGAAACCACCCCCAAACCCCAAACCAAACCCCCTAAGCCCCTGAACCCCCTACCTAAACCCCCCGACCTAAACCCCCTAAACCCTCCAAACACTGCACCCCCTACCTGAACCCCCTACCTCAACCCCCTAAGCCCTCTAAATCCCTATAACTTTAACCCCCCACCACAGCAGGTCAATGGGCAACCAGCTGACTCAGTGCAGAATCCACCACAGCAGGGCAATGGATCACAGCAGCCACCACAGCAGGGCAATGGACAACCAGCCGAGGCATTGCAGAATCCACCGCAGCAGGGCAAGGTGCAACCAGCTGAGGCAGTGCAGAATCCACCACAGCAGGGCAATGGACAACCAGCCGAGGCATTGCAGAATCCACCACAGCAGGGCAATGGGCAACCAGCTGACTCAGTGCAGAATCCACCACAGCAGGGCAATGGATCACAGCAGCCACCACAGCAGGGCAATGGACAACCAGCCGAGGCATTGCAGAATCCACCGCAGCAGGGCAAGGTGCAACCAGCTGAGGCAGTGCAGAATCCACCACAGCAGGGCAATGGACAACCAGCCGAGGCATTGCAGAATCCACCACAGCAGGGCAATGGGCAACCAGCTGACTCAGTGCAGAATCCACCACAGCAGGGCAATGGATCACAGCAGCCACCACAGCAGGGCAATGGACAACCAGCCGAGGCATTGCAGAATCCACCACAGCAGGGCAATGGGCAACCAGCTGACTCAGTGCAGAATCCACCACAGCAGGGCAATGGATCACAGCAGCCACCACAGCAGGGCAATGGACAACCAGCCGAGGCATTGCAGAATCCACCACAGCAGGGCAACGGACAGCCAGCCGAGGCATTGCAGAATCCACCGCAGCAGGGCAATGGATCACAGCAGCCACCACAGCAGGGCAATGGGCAACCAGCGGAGGCATTGCAGAATCCACCACAGCAGGGCAATGGGCAACCAGCTGACTCAGTGCAGAATCCACCACAGCAGGGCAATGGATCACAGCAGCCACCACAGCAGGGCAATGGGCAACCAGCGGAGGCAGTGCAGAATCCACCACAGCAGGGCAATGTGCAACCAAAGGCAGTGCAGAATCCACCACAGCAGGGCAATGGATCACAGCAGCCACCACAGCAGGGCAAGGGCAATGGGCAACCAGCTGAGAATCCACCACAGCAGGGCAATCAGCAGCAAGCCGATGCAGTACAGAGTCAGAGCAACAGTGCAGGTGCTGTCCAGGTGCAGTGCTCAGTCGTTTGGATTGTGGTTAATGTGGCGTCGTTTGGAGTCGGGTTATAGTTAGTACTAGTGGGTATGTATATATATATATATATGTATGCATTTTATAGAATAACTAAATACTAGCATAGAATAACAGCAACAATTATTAATTAATAAGTATATTAATTATAATTTATCATAATATGTGTATATATATATATACAGTAGAAGCCAGAAAATTGGAACATGGATTTAGGAGGATTAGTGCTAGGATCCCTGTTATACTTTACTTTAAGGGCATGAGGATAATGATGTTCCAACTTTCTGGCTTCTACTGTATATATATATATATATACAATATTATTAGACTAGCTTCATCTTGCTTTGTGTTGCAACTTAAATACCTCTGAGCCCTAATCGCCTAAACTAGTTGCCCGGATTCGAGCCCGATGCCCCCTAGACCCCTTTGGTGCAAATGTGCTCACCAGGTGCCTACCCAAGCTATCGACTGTGATGAGATCGATGATGATGAACTGGTGAGCCAACTGGAGGCTGCCCAGCTACAAACAAATAATATGTTTAATGGTTCTGGCTACCGATGTTATCCTGATTGAACAACCCCTGCAGGCAATGCTGGCCATGAAGCAGGAGCCCGAGGATCAATCGTTCACCAAGGTGGAGGCCAAGAGTCCTGACAGGAACGGGGGCTCAAGTATCGGGGCGGCTGGGGCAGTTGACCTTTGTTCAGATGACCCCTACTTGGATGCAGTCGACCTTGGTTCGGGTGACCCCTCTTTGGATGCCGGAGTGCAAGCAAAAGCTGCTGTGGATAGTGCATTGCGGAGACTGGCAACGGGTGACATCGAGGACCTTCCTCGTAATCGAATCAAATCAATACATCGTAATTTCGAGTCTATCCAATATTTAGTAGCATATTGAAGATTCGTCGATCCTACCTAAAAACCTCTAATCCTCTAATTACTGTGTCGACACCTACAGTGTGCAATCATATGCAGGAGAAAACCCGCCTGGCAAAGCAACAGGTCCAAAAGCAGATTGAGAAGCAGCCAGCGCCAGCCGTGAATCAGCAGCAGATCGCAGCATCTGAGCTTGATGGAGAGGAGCTGGATGAACAGGATGATGAGGAGGCCAGGATTGCTGACTTAGCAAGGAGGTCGGCCCGTGCAAGAATGATGCGAACTCTGAAGCGAGCCCTGTCTTACTAAATTAAATAGCCACACTGCAACTCAAGCTATAGTGCAAACAAAATTAGGTAGAAGTTACACGAAAACTCTAGTGGAATCCACTGTGGGGTAGACTATTCATAGCCCGTGCTGTTAGGCTTAAATAGATTTGTGTTCGGTTTAGGCTGGCATTCCTTATTATTATTGCACAACCCAGGTGATGATCTACCTCCTGCCATTCGGCAGAAAGCAATTCAAGCCCGCAAGGGTAGCTTGGACATTGATTTCATGTGTTGTTTTGGTGTAGCCTAGCTATATATGCTATAGCTAGTGTTCGGCCATGATATAATAATGCCACCAACTAAGATCGGAAGTATGCGGACTTGCTGGATGAGTTTATTCGGTGTGGTGAGGTTTGGACCAGCAGCAGCCTGGCGCAAAACTCGTCATCAACTGAAAGATCCAAGCTAGCAGGAGGCCGCAGCTACAAGATGTTCAAAGACATTGTGAAGGAACACGGACAAACCGACGCCGAGGGTCTACGCGAGGACAAGAAGGAGAAACAATCTACATTGGGTGACTTCCAACCGGGGGTGCCATTCTGGTATCCGCATCCGGACTTTCCCAAAAGCCTTGATCTTTGGACTTATGTTATGATATGATTTCGATAAAGTACCTTTAAGTTTGCCTGTTGTTACTCTGATGATGGGCTCTTGAAACTTTGAAAGCTTTGCAGACCTGAGGCTCACGAATTGTTCCTCTGTTTCGATGGCGCTACTCTTTCGACATTGAACGAGAATTCCGTGCACACTGAGGAGAGTGTGGCTGTGAATCTGGACAGTGGATTGACCCGTGATCTGAGGTGCCCTTGACGGTTTATGACCCCACTATTCGGTCTGAGCTTGTGGCTAGGTTTGTTGTGTACTGTAAATCCGCTAGAATACAGATCTAGATAGTGGTAGTACAACTTCCACATTAATGCAACAAGCTTTGCCAAGTCTAAGTCCCAGAAGTCCGAGAAGTGTCAAAGCAGAGGTTAGACCTAGTAATTTATAATTATTAGTATTATAGTTACATAGTACATTTTAATTATACAATTATAATAGTATAATTGTAGCATTATTATACTAGTAATGAGTAATATAATTTATACGATACAAATTTCATATACAACTAGCACACTCCTCACCCCAATAATCAAGACACCTGGATGCTGAATTGGGGCCCATTAGAAAAAACCTTCAACCTTCTTCATCCCAGGTCCGGTCTGCAGCCGACTGTCTCGGATCCCACCGGATGTGGAAGGTCCTTGCAGCCAGCACTCAGCTCCGATAGCCTTGGTGGAACACCCGGTGGCAAAGGCAAAGGAAAGACCAAGACGAACCCCAAGGGCAATACCGAACCCAACAAAGCGAAGAAGGCCCCCAACTACGCTGGCAAAGCCAACGGGAAGGTGAAGCTGGGCCGAACTACCTTGACCGATGCCAAGTATTGGATAAGGACGATCCACGATGACCAGAAGATCCCGGACCCCAGCAAGCGCAAAGTGCACCTTACCTAATTATAAAGCCTAATAATTGTGAGGTAGTTAGCTAAATCTAGTGTACTTATTGTATAGTCTGCATTCGTATTCTATTGCAATGCATTTTAAAAATATCTAAACACAGTTAGGCCTTATATTTAAAGCGATGCCACATAATTTCACATCCGAAATTAAACCTAACTCCCATCGGAAGTCCACTAGCCACCAACAAGCCCGAAGCTATCCAGTGTCCCATGGGCCATGCTCCACCATTGCCCTAAGCCCTCAGCCCCTAAGCCCTTCCCCCTAAAAGCCTAACCCCTTAAATCAATGTGTTAACATCCCAGGTCCGGTGATTTGGCCAAAGGCTACATTTCCCAGATCCACCTGTACCAGAGCCCGATGGAAAAAGCAACGGAAGCCTTGGATTGGAAACTGGTTGAAGGTGTAAAGGACGAGGCCACGTTAGCCCCGCTCGTGACTACCCTCGACACTGCTGTGGAAAACTATGGCAATGCTATCCGCCCAATCAAGGCACTCTTCGTTGCCCAGCTGCATAATTGCCTTCGGCCGTGGTTTTCGTTTGATTCCCACTAGCAATGTCTTATCATATCATATCCGATCTAAGGCTGAGCCTGACCCCAACAAGGCCTCTAAGAGTGGTGGCTCGAAGAAGCAAAAGGGCCCGGGCAAATCTGCCTGAAGAGTGCATGGGGCCACTCGTTGATTTTGGGATCCGGATTGCACTATACGAACACGTGTGAGATATCACATGTGCTGGTATGTGAGTGGAGCCATTCGGTCATGCATCCGACTGCCCCAGCTGTACAAATCTATAACAGCAATAAGTCCTGGCCCTGAACCCCGCAAATGTAAAACCCGTACATTGGCAGGTTGTGCTTGAGCAGGGGTACATCAGGCTTAACAAAGCTGGCTAGCACAGTCGGTGAGTGACCTTAGTTCATGGCAAAGCAACACCAATTGCAATTGCAAGTACAGTGCATCCTTGTGTTAGACAGACTTGGGCAGAAAAGCCCTTAGTGTGGGGTGTGTTACCGTGCATCAGTGAAGCTACGATGCCCTCACTGACAAAACTGGGACCTTTGCCTGATTGCCTTTCATGCAATGAGCTTGGAAAGTGCACAGCCTGGCCACTCTGACCCTTGAACTGAAATCAAATTGTGCCCTGCGCAGATGGCCTTCGATACCGTGCGGGTCATCTATGCCAGCAATTGCACTCGATGATCTCAGCTGGGGACTGATATCTATGCTCTAATATTAAGGTTTTGCTTGGGTGTGCAAGCTTGTGTTCGATACTTCTATGATGGGTCCGATAAGGCTTTTGACCTAGTGGTGTGGAGTCAATTCGGTGCTTCGGTGTTTAAGGGATTTGGGGCTTGTATGTGTGTTGGGGAAACGGCCATGTTTGGGCTGGACATTGATGATGGTCCAACGGTTGTGATGCACCCCGACACTGAACCCTAGCTTAAAACCCTACAGCCCTAAAGGCTTGAATCCCTGCTGCAAGTGTATCATGATCAGGCTCAAGTATCCTATAATAGATAAATATAAATCTTGAACTGTGACTAGCTATAGAGCCCTGAACACTGTATGTATGACACCCGAAGGAACTAAGTACTTATATATTAAGTATAATTAGGCATACCCAATGCAATAAAGAGTGAAGGACATCAGCTACACTTCGGCCCAGCGTGTGGCCCATGCTGCTGTGCAGGACTTCCCGACATTACAGCCTGGTTGTTTTAAATTCTTGGCCACTGTATTTACACGAGACCCATCAACTAAATTTAATCATATTATAATTTTACACAAGTCTAGCTAGATGCTATGAGTATCTAATAACCCGTTCAGTACACTTGCTCAGCTTAGCACCCGATGCTCGAACCCCAGCACAACATCATTTGCACCAGGCATGTTTAACCTCCAACTGAAGTGTTGTCAGTATTGATATATACATACCCTCATCCCTTAAAACCCGGATCCAAAACCCTGAAAACGGAGCCCGTGTACCCGCAGACCCCCAATAAACCTCCAATCCGAAATTAACTGCAGGACTTCGCTGCCAATGATTTCCTCCCCGATGGCGGATTGAATGCCTTGGCAACCGCAGGGGCGGAGGGTATGCATGCTTCGAACATCGAGCGCGATGTTCTTCGACGTACGACGCCGGCCGGTTTCCAAGTGTGGAACTTAGTACGTAGCTATATAACTTAAGTACTAGTACTAAAGCTGTGAACTCAGCTGTATCGAATCGAGTTCGAATCGAATATCTCACTAGCTCTAGCTGAAGGTGCCGATCCGACAAGTGTCGGTTCCTGTACGTGTACGTGACAAAGGAACATGGAAGGTTGTGCAGCGGATACTTGGCTCAATAAAGTATATGCAATCATGATCGTCTATGTGCATGTGCATATGTCGTAAATACAAATAATCGACTAGATAATCAAAAACTAGATGGAGTGTGATCATATGTGGCACCCTGCAGGTCAATGCCATTGGTGTTGCCACATGACATCCTACATGGATTACATGCAACAGGCCGCTTGGAGAAATTATCCCCAAAAGAAGCCATCCACGAGTATTGGGAACATTTCAAAGCTCATGAGTCAAGCCACATTCAGTGGCCGATGGCAGCTGACCGCAGCATGGTACCCATCGGCATCCATGCCGACGATTGCCGGTACACCGAGCACGGGCAGAAATTGATAGTGGTTTCAATGAACTTTTTATTGGATGGGGAGGTTCAGGATCGCTACCCGTTGTTTGTCATCAGGTGTGCCACTTATCTGATATGAGTTATATTAATTTTCATTGATGTTGGGTGTTCCGCTGGTGATGTGGCCATCGACAATGCCCGAGGCTTTAAGCACTGGCTTTGCGACCCTCCAGGCCTACATGCGTCCTGTCACCTGGCTATTTCTAGATCTTGGTAATCAATGGCTGTACGATACTAGTTTTCAATTGTTTGACTGTCTATAATGTCTAATGATATTTTGAAGTAGTACGAGAAAATACAGCTAAGATAGCCGCATCCTTCAACTTGGCTTACCTGGGAATTCGTCCGCTGCCTGACTCCGTGGATGTGGACAACTTGCTACCTGAAGCCATGATCGATCCACCCTTCGACTCAGTCGAGCACTATCCTGCATGCTACTTCAGTGAAGTACGAGGCGACTGGAAGATGATGAAGGACCTGTCTACTGACTAATGTGTGTACATGTACATGTAACAAAATAGCTTTACAATATTTTTGGGGGCCGGTTGATTCGAAAATTAATTAGTATCGTAGATAATCTTAGAGCCCGGACCTTTGACCCTGAAATTCCTGGCTGATTTGACATTTTATAGTGCTTAAACAACTATCCTCTCTCTAACCCCCATTTACTACACTCATTCACTCAATGCCCACACCCATGCCATAAAGAAAACCAATAAATAACCCTACAGGAACTGCTGAATTTGGGGGTGGGATGGAACAGCAAGTGTCTGTGCCATCACTGTCTGGTATCCGACAGCAACTACTTGAAGTTTCCCAGCCAGCTGTTCTACCAGCCACGGCGGTCGTGGAATGAGTTTGTGGATGTCTGCAGACCTTTGGATGGTCAGAGAAGTGACGAGCCTCCATAATCAGTACGGTTATTCGATGATTTTAAGTCTGGCATCTCGGGATTAAGCATGTTTAGTAAACTGACACATAATAAGAATAATATGTAGATTAGCATATATGCATCATTTGCACTCTATCTAAGGCCACCTGTTGGCCATCCGCGGCTTTCACCATTCCTGCCTACGGTGGTGCACCATGCACAGTATCAATTTAGGCATTTGTCACTGGGCAGTGGCCTCTTCCCTGATCAGTCTTTTGAAGATTCCTGCTACTGGGGTGCAAGGCATTTTTGGTGTAAACAGAGTTTTCCAGCAATAAAATCATGGTCCCACAATGCCTGTGAGGATTCTTGCTGAGGATTTGTGGCCAGCGCCACCCCGAACCCAGGCCAAAGACCGGTTGAATGTTCGATTGGCTCTGGCCTATGGTGACTTCCTTGCATGGGCCCGTGAAAAGAAAATCGAGTATCGTGGTCGCAACACATTTATTGGGATCTCAGAAGCTACATATTCTCCATATAAACGAAGCTGGGAAACCTTCACCACTGCTGTGGCCAACAGGCCCCGAACCCCTAGAACCAATGCGCCCAAAACCTGGACAACTTGATATTCTAATGCCCACTTTCACCCTAACAAGAACCATGAACCTTATAGCACATTTGCATTTGTTGCATTCCTGTTTAAGCTGATCTGAGGCACTCACAGCCGGAGTTTCATTCGAAGAATCTTCGTGATATGGGCAGTGGCTATGCAGACATGAGCATGAAGGCATACAATGTGTCTCAGTTGCATCGGGTGCTTGTTGCTTTCTTCGATACAGTATTCAAGCTCGGGTTTGACTTGTTGCCTTAGGCCCGAGTCGTGACAGGGTGGCTCTCGGATTTATTGATTTCACTTTATGCCACCTGTGACCATTGCAAAGACATGGAGTTCCAAGAGATGACCAAAGTAATGTGCCGTTGCTGCAATATAGTTTTTGCTGGGACTTCACTCTTCCAGAGTCTAGGGAGAGAGTGGGAGTGTAAGAGATTCTAGAGAGAGAGAGAGAGTGAGAGAGACAGAGAGATGGACAAAGAGTGCAGGTTTTGGCTCAACGAATATTTTCAGCGCATGGAGAAGTATGATCGATTCTTGGGCCCAGCCGAGAAAACCGGCTTGGGGGAGGCATGTGTGGCCCGGCTGTTTAATTAATTGTACGCACAGGTATTTTGCTAGCTGTTATGTCTGCATGCAAAAACCGGCAACTTCGATTCTGAAATACGGCAGCTCAGGATCTGTCGTGTCTGGCCTACGCCAATTTGGCTGTGATCTGTGCAAACCGTCAGGAGCGGCTTTGGGGATTGCGTCCCAAGTTCCATGTGACTTGCTGGCATTCGGTGTGGCCTGGTGTTCTGCAGATCTGCTGCTGTACATTTAAAGACCGAGGCATACCAAGAGATAACACATATTGCCATGCTGGATGGCAGCCCCGATAGATTTAACAGATTTGTGATTTTCAAGTTCGAGGTTCGCGAATGAACATAACCGGAGCTAAAATCGATCGGTGACCCCAGGACAAAATCCAAAATATCATCACACCTTTCGAGACGAGTCCTACATGGGGACATGCAAAGGCAGGTCCTGCATGAAGACTTCTTAGCATCATGATGCCATAACCAGTGTCGGTTATTTATAGAGCTGTGTATGCTGCTGGAAATATGTTGCCAGGCATCGCGAGGATGTGCCACAGAGGAAGCTTGGAAATGAGCTTCACAAGACGTGTCTATGGCCAGTGACTCGACTGCACTGGGATTTGTGTCCAGTTCGATTTGTCGCATTCTAGACTTGCACTTGCAGCCTGCGCTGCATGAGGTTCCCAGATATGCCATAATTCATGCGAGACGGTCGATGTGATTGCTGTGTGGTACACGACAGTGATCTACGATCGAGTGCATGTGCAATCGATGCAAGATTTCGCAAGTGAGTGCGAAGGAAAACTGACTGGCGTTTGTTCAGAGCTGGCATATGTGAAGCATGACCTGTGATGTCATTGCTTTTGTTTGCATGTGCATGACCCAGTAATATGTATATATACACATTATTCTAGCATGTTCCTACATATACTTATATCCGATATATCGAAAACACACCCAGAACGGTCTTATGTGCCTAACATGCTCCAGCGAGACATTTCCCGCAGAAGCCGCATATCTTGATACCTTTGGACCCTCTGGGGTATATAAGCAAAAATGTATATATATATATATATACACACCGATGCAGATTGTTAAGCTCATAGCCTATAAATACTGCCGGAAGTCTGGAGCCCCACCATAAGAGCTACGGTTTGCGTTTAGGATTTTTGCGTTGTTCGCAACAACAAGTAGCAACAGCAAGTCTCCCAAGGACCGCAATGGAGAATAAGGCTTCTGTCACGAGCCAGCATGCTGACAGCAGGAGAGCCATGACGAGACTGCTAGCAGTCGGGACTCTCGCAGAAACACAACGATGGATTCGCATGATCCCAGGCCCTCGGTTCACACGAAAAGCCCCATAAATTCTAGCTCTAAACCTAGGATGATGCTCACGACTTCCAGCAGACAGCTCAAACCCAGCCGGATCCTTGGGTTAATGGCAAGACCCTACAAACAAAAAACAGACAATGGCAAGGCCATATACACGACGAGGCCATATTAGCCCCGAACTGCTCAACTAGACCCTGATTGAGACCTTCATCAATCAGCAAAGATGCTCCTGCTCCGAAACCTAATCCCTAGACCCTCAATCTAGCGCCTTGGGACTGTCTGGCCCTGGTGTGTAGAACATTCGTAGAGGCCTGAGTGAACCCTTAAAGAATGTAGAACGAAGCCAGAAACACAACCTTTTACAAAGCCCGTTGTAGAGCCTTGTAACATCCGTAACGGAACCTTGTACAGAACTCGCAATGGAACCTATAGAACCCTGAGTACGCCTCCATTCAACCACTACAACGAACCGTTCCAACCGGGCATCCAAGTCCTAAACCGTAAACCCTTACTCAGCGATCATACATAAAACCCTTAGCAAACGGTTGATGATATAAATCCAACATTACCTTAAGGACCCTAAACTATGGGAATTATGGTATATTCCGTATGATGGGTAATGCAGGGATTTATACCATCAACAGAAACCACTCGAAATTTGAACCCTAAACCCTAAACCCTAAACCGTTTCTTTGCATCTGTTGCCATGGCTGTCGCAAGCGACGCTTGGTCTGACGCGGAGCAGGAGCTGCTTGAAGAAGGCCCGGGTTCTCTCTGTGTCCCAAAGGGTCTTAAGTACCTATATTGTCGAATGTAGGGTTTCTCTATTAGGAGTTACTAGGTTTTGAGGAAGTATCACCCATGACAGTGCCTAGGACCCTTTGTAAGGATCCCTTTAATGGGTTCTAAGAGCAGGTTTTCGAAATCCTTCAGAAGGAAGGTACCTTAAACGAGCTTCGGGCTCCTACTAATTACATGTTAAGGTCATTCCTAAACCCCAAGTCTTGAACCCGTAAATCTTCATACCAAGAGCCCACCTTATAAGCCCATCTACAGCCCTTAACAAAAGTGCCTGCAAGGAAGCAGCCCGAAATCCAAACCCTGAATTCCTCTGGAGCCTCAATCACTGAAACTCTCGGTCATCCACACCCCAAGCCCTTCAACTTTAGGGTTTACAGTTTAGGGTTTAGGGTTTAGGTCTATAGGCCTTATTAGGGTTGAGGGAGTTCGAATAAGCTTGCGGTTTAGGCCTGTCGGATGTGAACAGGGGTCTTGGTGATCAACACGGTCTCGTGTTTAGGGCGGGCGTCTGCTGAACCCTAAGCTCTGAAACCTCAGACCCTAAAGGGAACTCCAGAAAGTTGGAATATGGATTAATGGTAGGATCCCCTATAATTTACCTTAAAGGGGATACGATAATGATATTCCAACTTTCTGGCTTCTACTGTAAACCGTAGGACTGCGATTCAGCTCACCATCCCTTCCTGGCTGTGAGGTGCCCTGCCGGTTCCGAGCCAGAGCCCGATATCAGTAAAGGCTTCTACAACATACGGGCCTTTAGTGCTTCGAGCGGGGCTTTGGTGTATGTGATGTGGTTGATGATAAAAATCCTGCATTACCTTAAGGACCCTAAACTATGGGAACTATGGTGCATCTAGTGTATTGAGTATTGCGACCCTGAACTCCTGAACCGCAAGCCGCCGTCAGTGCTCCCAACACCCCACAACACGCACTCCTGACTATTGGGCTCAGACATGAACGCGATACAGAAGCCTGAATATTTACCAAAGGTATTCCTCAAAGCTCCTCACATTAAAATATAATGTACTTAAATCATACTATACCTAAGCCCTAAACCCTAAACCCTAAATGATAACTTAACCCCCACAAGCCTATTCCAATTAGCACAGGCCCCTATATTCATAAGGACCCTTAGGGGGGTAGGGGGTCATAATGCCCAGAATAAGGAATCAATAAGGCCTCTTTAAGGAAGTATAGTTCCTCTACGCCTTTAAGCTTCGCTATGATATAACGTAGACTCCAGGTCTGGTAAAGTTTGCAGTCGTCTGCGACCTGAAAGAGAAGCTTGGGCATATGCTTCCGGTGGCGTTCTGTTTATCGGGCTTACGTAGGTTTTGCCTGCAGTCTCCATTGTAGTTCCTTTTAGGGTCCTTAGTATATAATTGGTTAAGCCAAAAAGAAGAATTACAATGGAGACCATAGGTCGGTTTCAGGGTTCGGGTGAATTCTGTGCTTATCGACCTTAGGTTTGAGGGTTCAGGGTATAGGGTTCAGGGTTCAGTGAGTTCGCGGCTAGGGTTCAGGGTTCAGTGAATTCGGTGGCTTAACGTGCAGGGTTTAGGGTTTAGGTTTAGGGCTCTCGACCTTGAGTTGGGCCTTAGTCTTCGGTCTAGGCATTATGAAAATACTTTAGCTGCTACCTATGGTCTATAGTTATATGAGTTAAGGACCCTAAAAGGTAACCCAAAAAGGAACTTTAATGGAGTCTACTGGTATACACCATGGGGTACTTGAAAGCATTTTTTGAGTTTTTTGATGCTACGAGACAGCTAAAACTATGTTTTGCATGGGTGTAGATAGTACGTGTAAGCTAGCTGCGAGTTCCATGAGCATCCAAGCAGTCCAAGCAGACACTGGACCTCGGACCCTTACAGTACCTGTAGTGTGGTCTCGAACAGTACTTTGGCCCGTATATCTCTATATATATATATATATATATATACATTTATTTATTTATTTATTTATACAGACATATATTATATAGACAGATACATAGATAGATTTCACTAAATGGATAAGCAAAGACTCCTTCAAGTCCAGGCTACAGACTAGCACTTCTCGTGCATAACACTTCTGCTGCTCACGACGCTTTTAGTATACCGTACACCTTCTACTGCGGACCCAACACAGTCCCCTAAACCCGAAGTCCTAAGCGGCTTCCGTTTGGGGGTTTCGGGTTTAGGGGTGTAAGGGCTTAGCGTTTAAGGGCTTCGGGTTTAGAGGTTTATAGAATTTTAGGATCCCAGATGTGAATCACAACGGCGTTTCTAGTGACTGCTGTTACTGCCACTCTGACCACCGTGGATGTTTGCAGCTTTGCAGCGACTTGTCACTAGTCATTCATACCGGTTTTGTTTGTATCGTCAGGCTTAGGTTCTTGCCAACCCTTTACGTGATGTACGGAAGCGTGCAACCGAGGCGATAACATGCTAGGACCCTGTGATTGAACAGGCAGTTTATGCATTAATCCGTATTTTCAATCGCGAAGGAAATGGAAAGCCATTGCAGCCCACGTCGGGACACGCGACGATTCTTGCTCGCGATGATACTAGGTGAAGCAAATTCTGTCCGTTTGGGTTCTGGCTCTTGCGATTTGGAAACACTCTGAGAAACCACTCAGCAGCCATTCATGAGCAGACGTTGGTGCCATTTTCTTCAGGGCAGGTAACAACATAAAAAAAATGACCTTAACCCTAAAGCTTCCCCAGGCCTCCAGTTAGCTAAAGTTAAAACAAAAAAAGTAGGGTACTGGAGTACAGAATATCTGGCCAGTGACCTACTATTTAGGTAACTGGAGCCCGAGGGCTTGAATCAGGGACAACAAGTTCTGCTATTGTGGCTTCACCTCGTGGCATCCGGAGAGTGCTCGTGCAATGTACATAACGAGTAGAATGCATGGAAGTGGCAGTTCAAACCCCGGCCATGCGGAGCCGGAGATATAGTTATATGCGTGTACATAAGCAGAAAGCGACCGAGGATAACAAGATGTCGATTGACGTACATATATGTATTGCTATAATATGTGAAAAATATGTGTGTGTGTATATATATATATATATGTATATATATATCTACCGACTGACACACACACACACACATATACATATATATGTTTGTATATGTAAATGCAAACGTACACACGCACACATGTACATCCTTACATTCAGCGTGCGTATGTCCACCCACATAAATACATACATACATACGAACCACAGAGCCACAGATGGAGCTACATAGCCACTATTGGAGCAAAGCCCTGCACAAGTGTGTTCCCAGAGGTCAAAGCTTGCGCCGCGAGATTTAAGGCCTGATGCTGGGAGTTGAACATGAGGAGTGTGGGTAGAGAGTTTACATCTCCAGCATTTCGTGCGCAGCTGGTTTGAAGCCTGGATTCAGGCCTCTATATTCAAATGCCCAAATAGCAGGGTTTTCGATCCTAAATACACTGCTCTGAATGGCTTTTGGTACCTCAAGCCTCTCTAGGACACGTGAAAGTGTAGTCGTGGGGTCTAAGTCGCACCAGAATTGCGGTCTAGAGGTCATCAGGACCCTTAAAGAGCCCCTTGGAGCAGGCCTGCAGGGGCGCCTCCAGGGGATCCACCTTTCATCTCCATTGTAGCTCCTTTTGTTGGTTGAACCAATCTAGATCTTATAATTAGGATCCTATAAGGTAACCGCAAAAAGGAACTACAATGGAAACTATCGGTATTATAGGGGGGGTTCTATAAGGGTTCGGTGCCTTTAAAGGGTTTGGGGTTTTGGGTTCCCTTACAAGTGCCGGGTTTAGGGTCGAAGGTGCCTTTAAAAGGTGCCCTTTTGGAGGCGAAGGCGGGAGCGGGTTAGGGGGCCTTACGTAGTACTCCTACCTTAAGCCTGAAGAACCGACCTTTTCGGGGTTCCTTAATATGGTTTCCTTATATGGGTGGTTGTCAAAAGTATGGTCCCTTTTGGGGTACCCTAAATGTTAGGTGCAGTACTATATTAGGGACCCCAAAAGGGATCATAATTTTGACAACCACCCCTATAAGTCTATAAGTCCTTACAAATGTTAGTTATTCCGGGTTAAGGTACCCCCTAAATCCTATACCTGCAGCCCTAACCTTTGTACAGGTAGCCTGTTATGTTCGCCGGTTCAACCAGGCTTCATGAGGTGTTGGCGTAACAGTGCAAAAGCCAGCTCACCCCATAAAGCCCTAGACCTTGAACCCGATACAGGTTTAATATGACCTATGATTGAATTAGTATAGTTGCCCCTTGGAGGATCCTTAACAATAGGTTTCAATTCTGAGCCTCGAGCGGGTCGAGGGTAGACCGTAGAGTAGTTTGCCCAACAGAAGGCATTTCATTCCAGGGCCGCCTTGAACCCTTGAGACCTAAAGCCGAAACCCCGAAACGCCGAAGCCTAAACCTTAAATCTAAAGCCTAAACCCCAAAACCCTCTTTGACAGCACATAACCGGAAGCTCTAAACCTTATAGCCCCTGACCCCTAAACCCTGAACCTTCCAAGACCGAGGGCCTAAAGCCGAGGTGGCTGCGGCCTTCCTAAATCCCACGAGGCCTGTCGTGAGCGAGCTCTCAAAGAGCAAAAGGAGGAAGAGGAGGAAGAAGAAGAGGCAGCTGCGGTGGAGGTGCGGGCTTGCAGCAGTCTGAGTATATATGTGTCTATCTATATATATATATATATGTATGTATGTATGTATATATATATATATATATATATAAATTATGTGTATGCATACACCTTTACCTATATATACAAATATATGTATGTATGCATACGTAATGTATGTCTGTTCGTCCGTCCATCGGTCGGTGGGTCTGTCTGTCTGTCTCTCTGTCTATCTGTCTGCATGCACGCATGCATGCATGCAAGAGTGCTTGAATGCATGAACGCATGAACCCACGCACGTATGTATGAACACAACCCCCCATCCCCCCCCCCCCCCCCCCCCCCCCAACCCCCCCCCCCCCCCAATTCGCTCCCCAAAACCCTAAAAGCTCTAGACGAATCCCCAACCCTTGAAGCATGAGTCCCATGCCCATGCCCTGAAATCAAACCCATCCTAAACGCCACGGCCAACAATCCCAAACCGCCAATCCGAGCAACCCTAGTATGGGAGCTTGAATCAAGAAGTAGTAGGTTAATTTCTCCGTATCGTTATGCACTCCATTTGTAGGTGTATTATGGTATCGCACAGGACAGTATTCTGAAAACCCCACCTCCCCAGCTTTAAAGTCGCAGGTGGCTGCTGACTCGGCTTGGTGGAACGGGAAATGGAGCGACTGGCGATGGAAGCCTGGCCTGCTTAGGGTTTTAGTTTAGGGTTTAGGGTTTTAGTTTAGGGTTTAGAGTTTTAGTTTAGGGTTTAGGGTTCAGAGGTTCAGGGTTTGGGACTCTTCGTTGTGGTTGAAAGCGGTGGATGTCGCAGGAAGGTGTTGGGGGGGGGGGGGGAGGCGGCAGCTATCGGTTTTCACAGTCTCGCACTCATGTGTAAGTCTAAGTGAAGGGCTGTTTTACCTATGATGTCTCGCTGACTGCTGCGGCGTGGGTGCCGCTGCTGGATCTGTTGGTATCAGTGATTGGGATCCCTGGCTTTTGATTGTGCCAACCCTTGAATTCAGATTCTTTTAGCACTGATGATTCCCTTGGCAAACTTCTGATTCATGCTTTTGGGTTTGGGGTTTAGGGATTTGGGCTAGGGTCTTCAGCGTGAGTGCCTGTGTCCCAGGAATGGCCGCAGTTGGGATTGGACATCTCAGTCTGGCCAAGGGTGGACGGACCAGGAATGGAAGCAGGACGCTCTTGAGCCTAAACCTTAATTAGACATATAAATTATAGGGGCTTTCTTAATGAATAGGATGGTATATCACATTACAGCTACCCTAACAAAGCCTAACAAATAGTATTGGTAGCCTGTTTCTTGAAACCCCTACAAAGCCCGAGCCGCACCCCTGCGTTTTGAGGTTTAGGGAACCGAGGCCGGGTTCTCAAAACTCAAAGCAGAATCCAGCAACATGGGAACATTACTATCCCCGTCTCTTGAAGGACTGTCTTCTAATTCGCTGCCTAGACCCTCCATCTACCCTCTATTAGACCCTAAATGCCCATTATTTGGGGCCATATACCTCTATTTAAGGGTACAAGGAGGGTCCTGGTGGGTTCTCCCTAAGGGTTTAGGCTTGTAAAACAACAGCGCAGGAGTCGCCTTGGGCTGCTCGTATTCCCAGATCTTCAGAAACAACCCAACTGAGGAATGCTCCTTGAATCAAGTTTGAGGGATCCTACTATACCCTGTGGTATAGTACTTAATACTGCATAGTTAACGGATATTCGAAGATGTGGGTATGAACTCCTGGGAAGAAGCGTTCCCGGGAATTGGACTCTTGTTTTGATAAACCCTGCATGATCCGAGCCTTGAGTGCTAAAATCTACGGCTTCAGAGGTTTGTGTTGAGTATATCCATGTCTTGCAAGAACCTCCACAGCGGTCATTGCTGTGCTTGGTATCTTAACCGGCGTTACAATCAGTCACAACAGTCTGCAGCCCCACTGGTAACATACAGCGGAGCAAGCCTTCGTGGACTTCAGCCCACTAAACCCTAAACCCTCAACCTCAACACTTAAACGGAAGTCTTCGGACGCCTCCCCGGAGGACTCAGCTGTGGATGAGGCGGATCGCCGAAAATGGGAGATCCAGCAAGAGATTGATGCGAATCGACGACACTCGCATGAAACCAGCTGCAGAGATTTCCTCAATCCTAAACCCCTGAACCTGCAACCCTAGCCCCTTACAAGTAGGTGGTTTTTGTACCACGGGTCCCAGCATGTAGATGTATTTGAGAGCTGCATTTACATACAGAGACTGCTCAAAACAGTTGCTGCACTGTCAATTACTCGCATTATGGCTAGGCCGTGCAGTTCGCGTCTCCATCAACATCTTTCTTGTCGTTTTTCGCCCGGCTCACTCACTTCAAGAGCTTGCAAGAGGGAGACGGGTCTCGTAGTGTTTGAGTTGTACACAAGGCCCATCCGTTACTGCCGGAGGAAACTCTCGCAGAAGCACAGAGAGTAGAGCTTCAACAGCGCTCTAGCGGCTCGGTTTCCTAGTAAGTAGGTTATACTGTCCCTACCCTACCCTACCCCCGCAGAACCTACCTTTAAAAGGCCTCGCACAAGAAAAAGCATATTGCGGAGCCCTAGAAAGGTATGTAGGTTCTATAGGGTCCAGGCCAAGCAAAGCCTTCTTGGAGCCCTTTTCAAACCCGTGTGCACCTGCCCTATACGAACCAGTTGTATGGGCCATCTGGTACCGTGGAATTCAAGAAGCCAAACAGCAACATCTTAAGATCGATTACAGTAGAAGCCCATAAGATGGAAACACAATAGCCCCAATCCTTAAGAGTAATGCAAAACGAATCCCGGCACTATTGGGCCTTAATCCCGTTTCCAACTCTATGGGATTTACTGTAAAGGGTTTCGGCCCTTGGTCGCAACCACCTAGGACGCTTGCTCCAGAAGGAGGAGCAGAAGCAGCGCGAGGCAACCGTTACTGAAGTTTGCCCAACTTGACCAGGGATTCGTATCCTAAACTGTCCTAAACCCTAACAGCCCTAAACACTCGTCAAACGTCTAGCCGACCCGAGGCCCTAAACCATTCTCTTCTTAACGGGACGGGCAAGCCGCGTCATAATATTTCCAAGCCCTACTCTAATCACTGAGAACTCGAGATGAAGTTCAGACAACGCCCAGTGCAGCTAACGCTAGGACTCCAGATACCTACATAGTAGGTTAATTGCTGAGGTACACAATGATACAATATATGGTTAGTAACCTACTATTTAAGTAATTGGAGCCTTAGGGCTAAAGTTATATAACGCCATATAAAGCCTTGTGGTCCTTATTAACAACAACCTTCTGGGAACCCATATACACACACCTGACAAAACCCCTTCTGAGTCCCGGCAGTGTACATACCCTCATGACACCCATAAAAACCCTTCATTCACAAAGCCATATGTAAACATTATAAACCATACATAAAGCCTGCAGGGAAGCCTTCCAGAAAATCCTACAGCCCCGCCCCCCCCCCCCCCTCAACTGTAGACTCTAATCCCTAAACTTCCAAACCTCCAAGCCCTAAGCCAAATCATAAACCCCCATGTCGCTACGTTGTAAGGAGCTATATACTTTATAAGGAAGTCATAATAAGGAGCTTCCAACATGTTCGATAGGTTTCTTCGGGTCCAGGTAATCCCCAATAAAACCGGATTTCAACAGTACACAAAAAGCTTTAACATTCGGATTCTTGTAGGATCTTCGTAGTGTAGACCAAAAAAAGGCGGAACACGATACCCACCCAAAAAAGGAAACAAAACCAACAACATCCTCAGAAACCAAGCCTTCGCAGTCCTTGCAGGCCGAACAACGGGAAGCGAAGAAGCGTGCCGAGTTCGAGGCCAAGGCGCGGAGCTTTTTGTTGTGTTTGTTCGTTTTTGTTCCATAGGGTTTAGGGTTTATAAGGCTTAGGATTTTGGGTTTCGGGGTTAGGTTAGGGTTCCTTTAAGGGGTCTAAAAGGATTCTGTGATGTAAGACTTCTCATTAGAAGGATTTGCCTGATAAGGTTTTGTTCTTGTAAATGGATCTCTGAAGGGTTCTTTGAAGGCGTCCTTTATGGCATCCATAAGGATTCTATAACCGGGTTCTTTGGAGAGAAAGACTTCGGGTTTAGGGGCAAGGGTTCTAGAATGCTTTGAGGAACTGGTCAAGAGAAGGCAAGATTCAGCGGTTATGGTTCAGGGTCTCGGGATGCTTTTCAGGGCTGTTGGTTTAGGGCGCAGGGGTTTTAAGATACTTTTAGACTTTTTTGGTTTAGGTTCTGGGCTTTCTTGCCTTGGTTTGAGACAACTTGGGCGTTTAAGTCTTTTGCTGAAGAAGAGAAGGAATTTCGGGACTTTGGATGTTGGAGTCTCTTGTAATATTTCATGCCCGAAGGTACGCCACATAGAGAACCCTCAAGAAACACCTACAGGTAAACTCTCCCCTACGCTACCTGAAGGGTCCATGTACTCATGATATGGTATATAGTTTGGCCGTAAAGTAGTCCCTGTTTGGGTATATATGGGCACATGGACCCTTAGGGCTGCAGGCTCCGGAGAAATGAAACCCCAAGCCCTAAATCCGAAAACTGAATGAGCTTATTGTAATTGTACTATACAGAAGCCCAAAGACCTAGTCATATCATCACGCATTAAGGCCCCTCCAAGATTGAAGTTTCGTGCAGTAGGGTTTTCGAATCCGCAGGTGAGGTCTAGGGTGCCCTGTCTCATGTAGAGGAGAAGGAGAGGCTGGAAAAGATCCAGGAGCGAGAAAAGAGCTTCGGCGGACGGTTTAGGGTTGAGGGTTTGGCTACTGGAAGAAGTTGCTTTAGGGGTCTTTCAACGGCTCTATAATCTATAAGGTTTTTTTATCACAATTCCACATGGGTCTAGGGTTGTAAGGTTGAGTAAGATCAAGTTTGGCGTTTAGAATACAGGCTTGACATATGCTCCGACGCCCGAACCTGTCGATATTGCTACGCCGATGACTCGTATGGTTCGATCCAATCGCCTACGTCGACAGCACCCTGCTAAGTCCCTTGTGACAGCCTTGCGCAACCGTCGGGCTTAGGGGTCTAGGGTCTACGATGTAGGGTTAGCGTCTTAGTTACTTGCGACTTTCCCCAGAAAACCCCTTGAGTCTTCAAATTCAAAAAAGTAGACTCACCAACATCCTTATAGCATAGAGTCCAAACCCCCAGATGGCCCTAGAAGGCCACTCAAAGGAACCCGAGAGGGACCCTTAAATCCAGCCTTAGAGGGCCCCCTAAAGGAACCTTCAAAAGGCACCTCAAAGGGGTGTAGGGGCCCAAATAATTACCAGTACTACTGTGGGGGCTCCTTACTATTGTTATAGTATAATATTCCCCAGAACCCTATTCTGTTTATTAAGGCCCCTACCTCACCCTTATAGTAGCTCCTTTAAAGGGATTTCAAGGAACCCTGCTCTATGTATTAAAAACCCTACATCATGCCAGGGATCCCTTAGACCCAAAGGGTCCAAAGTGGTGTTATGGGGGATACTTCCCCAAATCATAACGGTAATTCCTGTTATAGGAACCCTACATTCTACCATAAAGGTACTTGGGACCCTTTGGGAGAGCCCGATGCCCAATAATCAAAACCCTACTATAGAATCATCTACGCCCATTATAGAACCCTTTAAAAGGGACACTAACTGCTGGGTCTTGTGGACCCTTAAAACCCTAATCTAAAGTCCTCTAAGCCCATTATAGTGCCCTTTAACGGAACCCTAACTGTTGGATCCTTTGGACCCTTAAAACCTTATTATTAAATCCTTTAAGCCCACTGTAGAACCCTTTAAAGGAACCCTAACTGTTGGTTCCTCTGAACCCTTAAAACCCTATTATTAAATCCTTTAAGCCCATTATAGAACCCTTGAACGGAACACTAAGTGTTGGGTCCTTTGGACCCTTAAAACCCTATGGTTAAATCCTTTAGTCACATTTTCGAACCCTTAAAAGGACCCTAATTATTGGGTCCTTCGGGCCCTTGGGGTTAACGAAACACTGTTGGGTCCTTTGGACTCTTAGGGTTAGAGCTTTGGTACGGCCCACACTCAGTAACAGTTGGATAATGTTCATAATGTAGATAAAGAGGCCCTTAATAGTATCCTTATTATAGACTGTTACTGTATGGGGGCCGTACCCAAGTTAGAGCCCAGGAAGATCCAGGAGGCTGTTCAGCGAGAGCAGCTCGAAAAGGCGGAGGTGCACAGAGCCTTGGGGGGACCCCCGGGGCTTGCCAGCGTTTGGGGCTTTATAGGGTCCCTTTAATAAGGGGTGGTACAGGGGATATATAAGGAATCTGGGAGTTTGGGGATGCAGTTTTAGGGTGTTTAGGGTTCCTTCTGATTACAGAATCCTAGAATACTTCTTTAAGCTCTATCTTGCAATCCCATAGTATTCCTTAAGAGCTGTACAAGGGTGTACAAGGGATCTAGGGATCTGGCACTGACAGGCTAGTGCTGCCTTACGAGCTGATATCATGTTCAAGGTTTCTAGGGGAATTGCGGTAGTTCCGTAGGGACGAAATGACCCTTAATAGTAGCAGTAGTGGCCCTTCACCCTTCTGCCATGAGTTCCTTTTATGGTAGTTGTAAACCTTAAACCCTGAGTCCATAAGGCTTGGCAGAGCCACAAGCATGCATGCTTTGCAGTACGGATGCCTTCTGTGCTCTTGCAGCCTCAAACCCATTACCCCCATAAACCCTAAACTGGGGTGGTCGGAGCCGAAGCCCTTGGACTCGGGATAGAATATAGAAAGGTACCATGAACTGGGAAACCTCCAAATTACTTCCGTGTGTTTCCTGGCAGGGGCATGAAGCTTTGAACTGCTTGAAACCCTAAACCTTAAATCCAGTAGAGGTGCCGCCCTGAACCCTAAACCTCATGACTTCTTCCTGTGTTCGCCTACGGCCATACGAGGCTTCAGGTCCCAGGGAGCATGCTACAAACCTTGAGCTATAGGGCTTAGGGCTGTAGGGTTTAGGGTATAGGCGATGTTCAGGGTTTCAGTACCTATCTTCTCCACTGTAAATATGTTTCCGGTTCTGGCTTTTCCAAGAATGTGGGATTTGACCGTCTAGGCAAACATAATTGCAACGAAGACTATGTGCAGCCATTCGATAGGCTCCTCTCAAGACCTGCGAAGTCATAGGGTTTGCAGAAGGGCCACAACTTCAATGAGGTCCCTTCATGGGTAGTTTCATAATTTCGAGCCTCTTGTACGAGACGGATGTCTTCGTTGCTGGAAGCAGAAAGGGACTTAGTTTACACAGCGGTTTAGGGTGTAGGGATTAACATGGTTTGGCCCTATACTTACCTAATTTCTGAACTTTAAACGGTTCCCTCATACATGGCCCCTTAGGGTTTGCGGCTTAAGGTTTAGGGTTTAGGTGTCAAGTGTGCAAGGCGGAGCGGCGGCGGCAGGAGCTGCAGCGCAAAATGGAGGACTGCACAGGTTGACTGGGTTGTCCGGCATCAAATACCAGATATTCCAATATCTCTCAATTACCTACCCTTAGGCTCTAAGGACTCGTATTTTAAGGCTTTCTGGGGTCGGAATGCACCTTCGATGATGCTAGTCTAGTCTGTCTATTCCTAACGGGATTTTGGCCGATCTGGCTAGCTTATGCCACATGGCCGTCAAGGGTCTGACAGCTCATGTCCAAAGATTGTATATTCCCTAAGGGTCCGTGTACCCAAATAGTAGTTACATACTTAGGCCCACGGTACCTAAAACGGGACTACTTTAAGGCCTAAGTAGATACTAGTTGGGCAGATGGACCCTTAGGGATCATTGTGAGGGGCATCTGCGTCAAGCCATGCTAAGAGGTGAATGGGTCTAGAATGATCGAGGGGCTTGAAGAGCTGGGAATTCGTATGTAACTATCGATAATGTGTGATTATAATCATTGACGAGGGACCCAAAAAGCACATAAGCATAAGCATTGTGCAGGGATATTCCTACCTTCTTGGGCTTCAATGTAAGGGAGTTTACATGGGATATCTATCCTAATTTGTGCTTGTGACCCCTAATTAAAGGCCTCTTCGAACTGTGAAGGTCCCTACATTGGTTCGACTAGTAAATCGCTTACTGACCCCAGAGGGTCCATATATACTGCTACTATGGAATTGGGCCCCAAAGGACTACATTTTCCTGGTTTAGCGACTTAATTCCATGATAGTAGTATATATGGACTCTCCTTGAACAGGAGGAGGATGCCAAAGCCGGCTTCTACGGCCAGCGCCATGCCGTGGGTAAAGGCATCTGGGCCAGGAAGCGCGGGTTTAGGGGTTAGGGGTTAGGGTTTAGGGTTTGGGTCGGGTTTAGGCACGAATTCGCGGATGTCAACTTGTTTCTTGCCAATGGACTCAACATGAATGGCTACTCCCTAAACCCTGAGCTGGTCTTGAAGTCTCCTTAGGAGTCAACTCTGCAGACAGGTCATCAGCCAAGTGTTCCACTAGATGCCGTGTTAGGCTGTACCAAGATGTTCTGATATCCCTTAAGCAAGCAGTGTACTTTAAATTTTCCTTCTATCCCTAATCTGATTTTCGGCGTAGTTCTTAATTAAAAAGCTTTGGAAGATCTGGGTAGCATGCTTGTGCACGGGTGCAAACATACTCTACACTGACACCCAAGCTCTTAACTACTTTCCGGCTTTTAGCAATGATGTTACAGCAACTCTGAACGGAACCCGTAGAGGACCCATTCTAATTCTTAAGCCCGAAAGACCCCTCCCCCCCCCCAACACGGCGTGTCTGCATTTCTGAGGCTGAATGACCTAAATCCTGAACCCGAAACCCTAAGGCAAAATGGGGAAAGGCCGATCATCTGGCAAAGGCAGGGGGGGGCATGGGTTCGTGTTCGAACCTACGCTTTTCTGGTTTCAAAACCGTTCCGTAAAGGGTTCTTTTTGGGCCCTATAAGGATTTCCGAACCAGGTTTTTGGGTTTGGGTTTCGGGTTTTGAGTTTAGGGTTCAGGCTTGTTTCCCTGTCTGGTGTTTAGGGGTGAGGGTTTGAATTCTACGGTTTAGGGTTGGGTGTGATTCGCTTTGGCCTTCGAAGTGTGGTGTACAGCCGGCACTGCTTGAGGGTTCATGTGCGTATAGTTCCTAAATATGTTATGATCCTCGGCGACGCGCCGGTGCAGCGTGTGAAGTTTGGGTTTAGGGTTGAGGGTGTAGCGTTCGGGGATTAGGGTTGAGGTTTCAGGAATTGGAACGCTGGTTCACAATAAGCTGTCAAACATGCTTCAAGCCCTTGATGCAATTCACAAGGCCCCGCATGCAAAACTCGATTCAGCGAGGTCTTGGAAGTTTCGGAGAACCAAAGCTAAGAGTCATAGCCAAACCGATGATCTTTCACAAATCGGCAGACAAGCTGCAAAGATACCCTTCGCCTTCAAAATCCCTTGCATTACCAACCCTAACTAACCCCGAAGCTTCAAGCCTAATGCCTAGACCTTCAACCCTTGTAAAACCCTAACACTACCTTGTTGTTGTGCCGCTGTGGCTGCGACACCCACAACATCGATAAGACAGGCACCGGAAAGGGCGCCCAGCAACGGCAGCAGAAGCAGGAGGATGTTTACTTCAGGGGTCCATGACCTGAAGACAAATACATGTACTTATTAGATAAGATCTATATATATATATATATACACACATACACATGTTCACACATATATATATATATATATACGTATATGCAGATGTGTACATATACACATGCATATACGGGCATTGATACAGGTACAGATATAGTTATTCCTATAGATACGGGAGCCTGCAGGCTCTACAAGGGTTTGATTGTGGCCGTAGCCGTTTCTTTACAAGGCCGTTATGGAACCCTTATAGAGCCCTTTAAAGGAACCTTTGAAGGTACCCCCCGCAATTTTCGGGGTGGTTTCAATGGGGCCCTACAGCCCTGTAATTACAACCCTGCGGCCCTAGACCCGTACCCTGAGGGTCCCAACCAGCCAATTCTTAGGGGTTCCTTTTTAAAGGGTTCTATAAGGGGTTTAGAGGATTTCATAGGGTTTTCGGGTCCAAAGGATCCAATAATTAAGTACTCGGGTTCAGCATAGTAGTTAGGTAGTTTACTCGTCGGGAGAGTATACAGTATATGTTAATTAGATACTTGGACCCTTAGGGTTCTAGAACCCTTTTATGGTGCCTTGTTCAGGAGGCCTTAAAGATCCCTCAAAGGGACCTTCAACAGCCCAGTAATACGGGCGTCCAGGGTTGGCGGCATCTTTTCTTCTGTGAGACTAGGGACGCTAATAAGGAAACACGATTTCTAATCACGCTCAACCCTATGAAACCCTACATCCTAATCCCTGGACCCTACTGTTCGTAAGACTGGGGGTTTTGATAAGGGAGCGGAGTCTAATTGCCCTCAACCCTAAACCCTACTGTTCACCGAAGGAGATGGAGCGCAGAGCTCGTGAAGCGCTTGCCAACATCGGCCTCGCGAAGGCCTTTCCTGGTTTCAGGGGTTTCTCGATATGGCGAGGAGGGGGGTAGGGTTTGGGGTAGGGCTTTAGGGTCTCAGGGTTTAGGGTTTGCGGATGTTTTGAAGGTTAAGGTTAAAGCAGTCCTCAGCCCCACATCCTGAATCCTCCAACCCGAAAATTCGAAATCCTAAACCCTGTAAGCCCCTGAACTGAACTCCTAAACTCCTTCGAGAACCCTTACCTAGCTCTTCCGATAGCCCTTTATTACGGACAGCTAGATGATCAAGAATATGTAGATTCCTTCATGAAGGGATCTTGGAAGAATTGGGCATAGATCCCGAACCATGAAAGGAAGCCTGAAAAGAAACCCGCACCGTAGGAAGCCAGAAAGATGGAACGTCATTGCCCTCATGCCCTTAAGGTCAAGTATACAGAATCCCGCCCTAATCATCCTAAATCCATGTTCCAACTTTCTGGGGGTTCACTTTAACAGAGCCTGAAAGGAAGCCTTAAAGGAACCCTTCGGGGTACCTTGAAAGGAGCCCCCAAGCCCTGCCCCCCCCCCCCCCCCCCCGCCTGGCGCCTCAGGAGCCCGAGCCCGGGCTGGAAGAGCAGAGCGAGGAAGAGGAGGAAGAGGAGGTTCCCCAAAGGGTTTAGGGTCTAGGATCTAGGGTTTAGGGTCTAGGGTTTAGGGTCTATAGGGTTTAGATCATACACTCTCCCAAATAGGAACCTACATAACTATCCTAAAACCGAGTACCTGATTATGGGGTCCTTTGGACCCTTAGGGTTGGGCCTTTAAATGATGCTTAATGGGTTCTATGTCTATAAGAGATCAAGACTAGGGGCCTTAATCAGTAGCAAAAGGGTTCCTTAACAGGGTTCCATCAGGGACCTATAACAGAATTTCAACAGGGATCAATACCAGGGGTTCTATGAAACAGGGGCTTTCATAATTAGAAGACGAGGAGACTGGGCCGGTCCCGCGGCACATTTGGGGTGCTTTGCAGGTTTGGGTTTAGGGTTAAGGGAGTTTAGGGGTTTAGGGTTTTAGGGTTTTAAGGGTTAAGGGTTGAGGGTTCGAGGTTATATGGGGAAAAGGATGTGGAGGCTTCTGCTGTTTCTGCTTCTTCTTCGTCAGGATTTCATGCATTTAGGGGTTGAGGCGGTTGAGGGGTTTATGGTTCAGGTTTCAGGGTCTCGAAGCTACTTTCTTCTTCGTCGTTTGCTTAAGTATGTAGGTGTCGTGTAGGTGCTGTGTTTGGATTTCGTGCCTTGTGATTGTGGGTACTTTGCCTAGGTGTTGTTTCTCGGATTGGCAATATTGTTGTTTGTTGTTGCTTTGGTTGTTAAAGTTTAGAGTATTAGATCTTGAGTTCGCAGTTTCAGTTGGTTTGAAGGCTTGGAGCTTCGGAAGTTTGTTCTTCAGCGCGTTGAAAAAGTTGGTGTCAGGTTTTGCAGAGGAATAGATCGAGTCGATTGTAGTGAGGCTTCTGGCTAGAAAGTACTACTACGCTATCAGATCAAAACCATAAATCCTGAACCCTAAACCGCTCAAGCTACTAAGACTCGTAAGCCCTGTAAGCTTACATCCCTAAAATCTTCAACCATAAGCACCTAAACCCCCAATCCCTAACCCCTATTAGCTCAAGGCATTCCTTCAAGGAATCCCCTTCCCTAAACCCTATGATACCTAAACCCCTAAACCCCATGATGCCCCGAATAGCAAGCTGTATGTGAATCCCTTAAACCTAACACCTACCTTAACCCCTAAACCCTAAACCGCCCGAATAACTTGCTTTTGTAAGTAGGTTATTCAGGGTCAAGGTAAGCCCTGAACCCACACCCCTTATAGCTTCTTCGTACAGGGCACCCCTGAAGAGAGGTCGTGGAGCCTCCGGCGCCGGCACCGAGTGCGCCAAGAGCGGCCGCTTCGGAAGCCAAGGCTTCGACAAGCGATCCCGTTATAGGTAGTAATGAGTTTCGTAAGGGTTTCGCTGAAGACTTGTTGTAGGGCGTTTCAGACTGTTTGGGAAGTGTATGACTTTTGTGATAAGCCTGCAACGCCGGAGCTACAGGACTTACAACGGTCTATGATGTTGGAGAGGCTGTCGAAGTTCACGGCCCAGAGGCAATGCAGAATGTAGGAACAGTGTGCGCCATGACGCAGGCTCTTTGTGTAGGGCCGGTTGTGGCCCAAGGCGGACCATAGTTTTGTCCGGGGCCAGGAGTCGAATCCATTGTGGAAGGTTTTCTAGGTTCGCTTTTAGGTTGGGTCTTGCAGATTTCTTGACAGTTTCAATATAAACAGCTGCGCTCCGAAACCTGATATCCCCGGCCGCCCCGTCTCCGCCCTCAACAGGCCTCCTGACGGGTTTTGCTTGGCTGCTCTTGGCGTAGCCTGTCTGAGGCTTCCTTGTAGGGCCTGTAGTTTGCTTTTGCGCAATTCGTGGGAGGATTTAGGGTAGAGGGCCGGGGTTTACTGTCCAGTGACCAGTGCATGCTCGAGGCACCACCTCAAGCAGAAGTGGATGGAAAAGGCAAATGCTGTCATGCTGTGCTTTTTTGTCAAGGTAGACACCACCAGGTAATGTGCCGGATGAGTGAATCCCACAGCGGTATTCAAGAATCCTCGTTTTCGCAGTCGTAGCGGCGGCAACTTGCATTTCAATTCATACGGTTGCCCGTAGGCTAGGGTCCTCAAGGTATTGCAGACTTTATATCATAACCCTGAATCCTATTAAACCCTAAACCCTATAGGCCGAAAAGGAACCCTTAAAGATAATGCAGGAGTTATATCATCAACCGTATTCGTGATCTCGAGGAGGAGGAGGAGGAGGAGGAGGAGGAGGAGGAGGAGGAGGAGGAGGAGGAGGAGGAGTCTTTTCTCGTGTGTGTGTGTGTGTGTGCTGCTTCTTCTTTCTGTTAGCACTGCAAGGACCAATATAGGCACTAGATAGAGTTTAGGTTATATAAGGGTTCAGTGCTCAGGGTTTAGGGTCTCGGGCGTCCTGTTAGCAATGCAATGACCAATGTAGGCGTCGGAATGTAAACTGGAACGCAAACACCCTGTTCTGGGTAGCGAGGCTCGTATGCTTAAACTGTTTTCAACCCGTAGAGTATCCCCAACAGAAACCCAGAACCCTTAAAGGTCCACTAGTCTAATGGCTCAGGCCCCTATATCCCTACTATATAACTTATAAACCGTTCATCTACCCTCTATTAGAGTCTAAAAGCATTTAGAAATTTGGGTGTAAAAGGAAGGATGCAGAAGTATACATACGGATTCCTTGCAACCCTTACGGTTTGGCACTAATACGGCTCTACATTAGGAGCCTTGTAGTATCCATAACGAGCAGGACAAAGGCTTCAAGACCCACAGGATTTTGGCTGTTTAGTCTTCAAGCTTAAGCCTATGTCGAGTTCATTGGTATAGAGGGCCTTAAACCCTAAGCCCTACTTCAACCCCAAACACGTGGCGCTCTGGCACTGGAAACTGCTGCCAGCTTTGCGTAGTTTAGGGTCTCCTAGATGCCATAGAACGAAGCGATCACGGTCCCCGGAGCTAGTTCTTGCTTGGGCCACGGCGACAGGAAAGAAAGGAGGCAAGTCCAAAGGCAAAGGTAAGGGAAAGCGTGGCAAGGACTGATGTCGGTTTGCAAGTTACAGGGGTTTAGGGTTTACGGTCCTGGGCCTTGAACTTTCGTGCACTCGTACGTTTTGAGGCTCACGTGGTTTTTTTCAGTTTAGGTCCGGACCCCCCTACGCTTGCCCCAACCAGACTCAGACCTGTTGTCAGGGGCTGGTATACTCAACTGAGAGTTCAACGAACCCAAAATGTCCTAGGTACTGTTCGGATGTTTCCCCAAAGCAGATTATTAATCCCTAAACTAGAAACCATACAGTCTACTTTGTAGAGTCTTGTTAAAGGAAGCCTCAAAAAACCCTACAGTCTACTATACAGGCACTGGGGTCTACGGTTCATGATATAATCCTGCATTACCAATAATAAGGAATATACCATACTGTAATTCCCATGGTTTTGGGTCCTTAGGGTAATGCAGGATTTACATCATGAACCGTAGTACACACTTTGGGCGAGTGTCGAAGGGGCTGCGGCCTCTGAGGGTCCGAAACCTGAACTCCGGTCTGCATCCGCCAAACCTCTAAGACCAGGTTAGGCTATTTTGGGACATTTATCCTATTTGGCAAAATAGTTTATTTTACCTTGAAATATACTATTTTAAATAGACTATTTCGCTCTTGTTTCATAGTCTATTTTTTCGGTTATTTAGTAAATAGACTATGCAAAAACAGGTTATATGGTAGAATATAGGATATTTTCGCATATGTTGGAAACCAAAAATCAATGGATATCCATACAGAACCAACGTCTGTCTTGTTTAGAAAAACACGTCTGCGAATAGGGATATGTGTTGAAGACCGATCTGTGTTGAAAGATTTTCTTGAAATCTTGACTCGTTTCGATAGTGATAACCCGAGGTTTCTAGATGGATTTGCGCAGGGTAGGCAGATGGGTAGGTAGGAAGGTTGCTAGGTATGGGTAATGGCTCCCTAGGTACAAACGAGGTAGGTAAGATTGGGATTCGTGCTTTGCCGTAAGGGGTCGTGGTGGCACTGGGTTTTGGTTTTTGGGATTGAGGCTTCGTGCTTCTAGAATAAAGGGTCTTTGGCTCCGGTGGTGAGAGGTTGTGGGTTCGGCAGGTTTGAGGATTTGAAGTTTGGTGTTTGCGGGATTGCGGCGTTTATCCAGGGGTATCGGGATTTGGACGGCTTTCTGCTTATGGTTGGGGGCTTAGGGTTTTCGGCGCTCAAGGGGAAGGTGGTTGTTGGGTCCGGGGTTTAAGGGTCTAGATGTCTTTGGGGATTGGGGGGGCTTCGGGTTCCGGCACAATGGGTTTGGGGCTTTGGGATTTAAGGGTGTAGGACTTCCAGGATTACACGGGTGTTTGGGTTCGGTGGGGCTTGGCCCCTTAGGGGGGGGGGCTTCTGGATTTGAGGTTTGGGGTTTATGGGTGTCGGGTTTCCTCTCTCATGGCTTCCGAGCTTGCAGTATTAGGCTTGTCTTTGAGCCTGGGGTTTAGAGTTTAGGGGTATTCATACTTCGGGGTTTAAGGGTGATGGGTTTTGGCGCTTTTGGTTTTGGGTTACACGTACTTCTACACGTTGAAACATACAAGCACAGGCACACAGACACATAAGGCACCTTTATCCATATATATATATATATGTTGCAGACATACAATGTGTTCTATACATACACACGTATGCGTGTGCATATCTCTCTCTCTCTCTCTCTCTCTCTCTCCCTCTCTCTCTGTGTATATATATATATGTATCAAAACATACGTTCTTATAATTCTAACAATGTATGTACAATGTCTTGCAGTTGCTTTTGTAGCAGCACAGTTTTAAATACTGTCGTGGTGTTTATTTTTGCAAAAGCGCCGGCTTGAGTGATACTATAACGGAGTTAAAGCAACTGGCTTCGGTTTTAACACTGTGGTTGTGTTCTAACGTTTGTTTTGTGTCCTTTGAAATTTAGTTTTGTTTTGTGACAATTTGAAGAATTGTCACGAAACAATCATAAATCTGGGCACCAAAACTATATAAATGTTCAAAACGTTTTAATGGCGGTTATACAAATTTTGAATAATTTTTATAGGTTTTTATAGAATATGTACAAAAAATATGAATGTGCATAACAAATTATCAAAAAATTCTATCAATTTTTTTTACGACTCTTAATTTTTTTTATAAATTTCTATACAATTTTTAAAAAATTTTGTAAAAAATCAAAGAATTTTTATACGGATTTTAAAAATTTTTGTAAAATTTTGAAAAATTTTGCATGATTTTTACCAAAATGGCGGTCCAGTTTCGGTCCGGTTTCGGTCCGGTTTCATGAAAACTGGACTCCGGTGGTCCGGTTTGAGTCCGGTTTCTATGAAACCGGACCACCGGGGTCCAGTTTTCATGAAACCGGACCGAAACCGGACCGAAACTGGACCGCCATTTTGGTAAAAATCATGCAAAATTCTTCAATTTTTTATAAAATTTCTTCAGAATTTTATCAAAATTCTTCAAAATTTTATAAAATTTCTTCAGAATTTTATCAAAATTCTTCAAAATTTTAGAAAAATTCTTAAACTTTTTTATAAACAATCTTAAGAACTTTATAGAAATTTATTACACAAATCCATCAAATTTTAAGAAAATGTAGACAGTTGTTAAAAGTTCTAAAAAAACTATTATAACAGTTCTATACAAATTTTACAAACTTTGATAATAATCAAAAAATCATAGAACACATTAAGACTGTGATAAAGATTGTCAAGCATTTTCAAAACTATTTAGAAATTCTCAAAACAACCCATAATGCTATGCATGAAACAGTGATTTTGTAAAACAAAATTATGGAAAATATACAGAGCAGTCTATGTTTTGCAACAGGACATATTGTACAACTAAAGAATGGTTCTGAAACTCAAAACAATACTTTTCCAACAAACAAACACTAGTACGTTTCCTCTGTGTCTAATCGTCGTTAGCCATCTGTTTATATACGTATATACCGTCAACCTACCAATACACCAAACCCTCAAACCCCTACACCCCGACCCGAAGCCCTAACCCAGAAACCCCAAGCTCTCAAACCCCTACACCCCAACCTCAAGCCGCAACCCAGCAACCCCAAGCAGTCAAAACCCTACATCCCCATCTCAAGCCCTAACCCAGAAACTGCAAGAAGCCCTGAACCTAGCAACTGCCCAAGCCCTCCAAAACCCCGAACCCATCAACACTCAACCTGAAGTCCCGAAGCCGCCCAAAGGCCAAACACCAAAACCTTTGAACACCGAACCCGAAGACCCCTAATCCAAGAAACCCTACACCCCTAAACCCCTCAAACCATACCCCAAAACCTAGTACCACGGAACCCTAGCCCCCTCAATCCAGAAACCTTGAACACCAAAACCCAATAAATGTATCCCGTAGAACTACCTACACAACCCGGAACCCATTAACACGCAACCCCAAGCCCCTTCAACCCAGTTAGCTTAATCCCCTAAACCCCCCAGCTCAAACCCCAAAACACGTATTCCAAAGACCTACCTATAGCAAGCCTGTGCCAGGGGACCAAGCTAACCCAAAGACCTAGCTACCCTGCCTAGCCACCTATCTGGACCTATCTACCTACCTACACTTCTCAAAAACCCCAAACCTCGGGATATGATTTGTTAGTTAGAGTCATCTGAGGTGCCAGCCGTATGTTAGCTAGATGCAAGAAGATCTAAGTAGCAAACAAAATCGACACATACAAGAGCTAGGTACACGGAGTAACTAAGTCACAATCAACAAGCAACAATGAAGACAAACCAAACAAATTCGCAGTAACACACATGGAAAATCAGTTGTTCCGTGCACAAAAACAAAGCGAAAACACGCATTCGCTCAACTTAGCACAGATCTGCTACTTAGAAAAACATATCAATTTCAATGTTCTATGCAAAAAATCTATCAAACTGGATGCTAATCAATAGTAGTTTGTCAAACACAGTAAGCAGTTTTTAAGCTATATTCAATAGTAGGATATACGCTATTTCAGATATAACCTATAAAATAACCTATAAAATAACCGGAAGAATAACCTATAGTTTATTTATATAAACAACCTATATAGGTTATTTTTGCCATATAGGATATATGTCCCAAAATAGCCTAACCTGGTCTTAGAGGAACTCTGCTTCGAGCTTTGCACGTGGGGTTTAGGGCTTAGGTTTGAGAGTTTAGGGATGTTTGGGTTTAGAGTTTAGGGTTTAGGGGTTTAGGCTAAAAACAGGTGCCCAAGTACCAGTGTACAATTTTGTAATAGGTACTTTGTACATATTTGGGCCCCGAAAGTATGTATTTTGCTAGTACTTGGATCCTTTAGGAATAGGCTACTTTGTATTTAGTTTTGAGTCTGATGACATTAAGAACACGAAGACCCAGATTCGTCAGTTACCTGTAAAGGTGGCAGCTGTCCCTGAGACCCAGCACAAGTTGCTGTCTGCCCATAGTGATGCAAACACGCTTTGGGGGTCAGTACAGTTCCCACGCCTCGGGTCGAGCTCCTGCATAAGGGCGCTGAAGCCAAAGCCGTGCAATGCGGGCTTCAGATTTTTTTGATTTCGCTCCACGGGCAAACTTTGTCCAGGGCAGCCTGGCTTGTGCCTTGGCACGTAAGCTTGTGCAAGGCTCCCGTGATATATTCTCGTTGCACGATTGCAGTCTGACGTCACCCGTGCCACAGCCCCAAAGACGTCTGCGTCTTGACAGCGGCCGTGCTGGCCAAGGACCAGCTGACCAGCTGATGGATCACTGGCGGATGTATGTTTTAAAGCTTTACCGTTTCCTCGCCAGTTTTGTTGTAGAGCAGACCGCAGATACAGCACCGGCCCGAACACCCGGTCTTGATCGAGCGGTCGTTTTTGCACAGATGAGTAAAGCCAAGATTCTCGAGGACGCACGCCTTGCGCTATGTCTTTCATTGATCAGGGGGGCATGGTGGAACTCTTGGAGTTCACACAGAAGTATGTCGACATGTGGGGTTGGAAGGCCAGGCCCTCTCGACAACACTAGCGCGCCAGAATCTCGTTTCAGCCATCGCGGGTTGCGGGCCGCCGGCAATACCGCGCCCGGCCCCGCTCACCGGCTTGAAGCAGGTGCAGACAAAGTGATCCCCGGGTATTAGCCGCAGCTTGGTGACTGCAACTATCCTGAGTTTTTTGTATTGGGTGGTGGGAAAAAGACAAGGAACCAGCAAGTCTGACTATCGGTCTGATTTCCCAGCGCTTCTCGTCATATCTTATCACTCAACCTTCAAAGCAACCATATAATCTAACTGTTATGGCCCCCATTACCTATATCATCGGTTATAAACCGTAGCCCTACGGACTGTCATGGGCCCTGTATAAGGAACTACGGAACCCTTTTTTCGAAAGGAGCCATAATCTAGCTGCATAAGTTTATCACAGAGCCTTTCAACAAACTAAAATCTATAAATGTTGTGGCCCCTACATTACGTATCCCTGTTATCGCCCTCTATTAAACCCTAAACCCTAGACCCTAGTTATGGCCTCTCCATTAGGAGCGCAAACCCGGTTGGTGGGCCAAAGTCGAGGGCGACTGTGGCTCGGCAGGCTTTTACGGGTTCAGGGTTTGGGCATCAGGGTTTCTTTAGAGGTTCAGGGTTTAGGGGTTACGGGTTCAGGGTTTTGAGTTTAAGGGCTTCGGGGTTTAGGGACCATAAGGGCCCCTTTAAGGGCCCCTTAAAAAAATTTAGGGTTTAGGGTTTGGGGGCTTCGGGGTTTATAAGGTTTACGGTTTAGGTTGCGAGTCGCGCACAGCTGTGTCGTAAGATACCTCATCCATATGTCCGAACTACTTCTTGTAGAATAACAAGCCCGATTACGAACCAAAAATTGTTTTTTGTTACGGCGGTTTTGTGGCACCACATGCTGTTCAGGAGTTTAGGGGCGTTACACTTGAGGGATTTAGGGTTCGGAAGTTTAGAGATGACAGATCAAGGGTTCAGGACCGGAATGCCGGGCAGTATGTATACATATAAATGTATACATGTGTTTATTTATATACATATACAATTTTATACACTATATGACGTTATATGTACAAATTTATATGACGTTATATGTACAGATGCTTGTACGCGGATACACATACGTATGCGCATACACATAATCATAGTCACTTTCATACTCATATTCATATTCGTATTCAAATCTTTATATATTCATATACTCATACTCATGTTCATATTCATGTTCATCTACATTTACATCTACATCTACACATCTACATCTACATATACACATCTACATTTACACATCAACATGAACATCTATATCTACATGTACCTGTACATGTACATATACAAATTCATACACATACACGTACGTGTACAAATACAGTAAATGCAGCAATAGATTAAAAGGTTGCCTGTTGAATTCACAACGCGGAGAGCCGAACAGCCCTTAATGAGGGCTTTCCCGTAAGAGTCGTATACTTGAACTTATCAGGAGTAGTATTTAGTATTATCTTTATGCTTGAAGGTTCTTAACTCGGCGTAGAAATTCGTTCATAACATGTGAAGCCTGGTAAAATGCACGATTTTGCCAGATATTCTTGCATTTTAGGGGCATTGGGCTCTTCGCTCTTTGAAAAGCCTTAAAATCCCAAATCCGGAACCCCAAACAATGGCCTCCAAGGATTTTTGGAAAAGCCGAGGTCCCATCTCGCTTGTCCCCATCGCGGAGTTGCCCGCGCCTCCGCGCCCCGGGCGCAGAGAGCCCTTTCTTTCCCAGGGGATCCTAGGCATCGCTATGGAGGAGATTGCCATATCTCCGATTATAAAACCCTGCGTTGTTCCATTTAAGTTTCCACAGGACGATGCAATTGTGGGGGGGGTTAGGTCCTTATAAGGGTTCGCTTTGGGTGGTAGGCATCTGGCAGCAGATAGTTCTAAGAGAAAGTGAGAAACAAGGCTTGCAAAATTTAGCAATACTTCACGGCCTTCGTGTTCCTATAGCTACACTGGCCCTACCTAGATCCTACGTAGGACGTTTGCTTCGATGATCTGCTTTATGGCTCGGATCCTATTGTAAGAAGCGAATACACTAGCGATGCAAGGTACTACGTCTCCCGGTCTAGGTAGAACCCTATAACTAATATGTAGAACCCTTTGTATACCCTTCTGGAGTCCTTGTAAAGCTTATTTGAACCCCTAGGGGATAGCTGTAAACCCTAGCTCTAAGCCTTAGCCCTTGCAGAAACCGCTCTGAAGGTTCTGTTTGCAGCCGGAGGGCACAGCGATACCTCACTACTTCGATGCTCGGTTTCTGGCCAGCTTCTTGCTCCTCCGGCTTGGACTTAGGATTTTGGGGGTTAGGCTTTGGGGTTTAGGTTTTAGGGATTTCGGGTTTAGGCTTTAGAGGCTTGGGGCGGAGGGCTGGTCGGGTGCAGGAGGTTTTTTCTTTTAGAGTTAGCCCTAAGGCTCAAAATATCTCTCCAAAAAGCCTTGCACAGTTTGGTCTTTGGGCCCAACAGCCTTACAATATCAGTCCGTAGAGCCTATAAGGGTTGGGAGGTCATGTGATCTGAAGGCACCAAAGACACTCCAGACTGATTTATTTGGCCTGCCCGATGCAGCCACTCAGGATACGGTTCAGAGTGGTTAATTTTAGCGCCTTTATGGCCAGAGTACAGCTCGCACGGGAAGCTGAGCATTTAGGGAAACCCAAGTTCCCAAAGCAGCAATTACGCCCTGATACTGGCTTGAGTTACGTCTTCGAACCGCAAGCGTAATACTCGAAAGCCTTAAGCCCCAAAACCCACAACTTCACACCTAAACTCCAGCACCTTAGAGTCTTAGAGACTTACCGTTAGGCTCCAAGGACTCAATTGTTAAAGCTTTCGGGCCCAGAGACCATACCATTTTGGCCTTTTGGGTTATTTTGAGCCTTAGGGTAGGCGATATTTGTTCATCGGGATTTCGGAAGCCCTAAACTCTAAACCTTAACTCTTAAACCCTGCACCGGAAAATCTGGGTGGAATATCTGTGTCTCTGCCAGAGCAGAGGCTGAGCTCCTTCGATTTCATTAACCCGGTGAATCGAACCGCGCTGACGCGGGAGGACGGGTTCAGGGTCACCTCAGGGTTTAGGGTTTTTGAGTGCATCCTGGAAGCCCTACCCGGACAACTAAGCCTGAAGCCGTAAACCTCAAGGGGGTTGTCACAAACCTTGGGGTTCAGGCGACCCTTCATAGACTGGGATTTTTCCTCTTATACTATGAATTTCCTTTTATGGCCCACAAAATTAAAGCACCTTCAGGGTACATGTCGTCCTTAACCGCAAGGCTCAAAATAGCCCAACAGCCTGATATAGTATGATCTTTGGGTCCGAACGCCTTGAAATGCGGGTCCTTGGAACCTAGGGCCTAGTATGGAGGGATAAAGAAGCCGTAAAGGCACCCCTAAACACCCCCTACAGAACCCTTATACATCCCTCTTATGAGACCTTAGGTACATTTCGGAAGCCTGAACCCAAAGGAGTGTTTGGCCTTGGACGCTCACCTGCGTGCACACTACCCGGAGCAGCAGGCCCCGACACAAAGGAGCGCCTTAATCCCTACCCTAAGGGTCCAAAGGACCCACAAACTAGGTACTCGGGTTTAGGGTAGTACTTATGTAGGTCACTATATTGGAGAGTAATTATATGATGCTTATGTACGTGATCCTTAGGGCTATACCATCCTGCACGCCGAGACTCGAAACTCTGATACTTAAACCCTGCCCCAAGGCCCCAAATGACTCCAAAGGTCTTCAGGGCCAGAACCCTAAACCTTAAACCCGTCCTGCCTGGGTTGCGGTTTAGGGTCTAGTGTTACCTGCATGAGCCGTTCGGGGAAATCAGATTTGCTTCCTTAAGGGCCCTAGTTTTTGACCTCAGGTCTCATTTCGAACGCAGAAATCGTGGAATGGAGTGTGGATCGGCTCGGGGTTCAGGGGTTTCCTTCAAAGAACAGAAATTCTTGCAGTAGAGTAGACATGCTTGTTCAGTCGGTATGTTGCTTTCTGGCCTTTGGGCTGAGTTGACAATACCTGTCTCAAAATGGTACGTTTTCGGGCGCTGAGGTATGCTCCCGGGTTGAGTGCTTGTAGGCCTCGTGTATATTTCGTCAAGAGGCAGAAAATCTTATATCCTGGATGCTGGTTGTTGTATTCAGGCCTCCTTCAGAAGTATTGGCGAGTTTTTAATCATCTATCTCTGTTCAACCCTGGTTCGCATTCCTTCGCTGAAGCCGCAGTCCATTCGGTTCAACAGGCAACATCTGTGGCTGATGCCTTCGACCTTTTCCAGCGCAACGGCGGTGCCTCGCCGTGTTTTGGGACATGAGGGTCCGAAGAACCCAAGAAGTCCCTCAAGTAAACAAATCCCCCTGGATCGTCTTGTATAAGTATACCGCAGCATACCACAAACCACTAGAATTCTTCAGGCCCCGCTCGCACTTATCCGGGCCACCCAGTCCGAAATTACCACTTCATCGCTCTGACCCTCAAGATGCTTATGGTTTGGGGTTTAGGCCCCCGGAAGCTTTGAATCCTTCGGTTGTGTAACCAGTGCTAGACATGGTGAATAATCCTGGCTGGACCTGGCAGCCTACAAGAGCAGTAGAACATTCCTGCCTGTACCCAACTCTCTTGGGGCTGCTCTTTCTAATGGTTCACGGATTTCATTTGTCCTTGCCTCTAAGGCTCAAAACAGCCGAAACGCTTTATATAGCATCATAAAAGGCTTAAAGCATGAATCCTTACCTGTATCCCCAAACCCTACAAACTGGTAGGCAATGACCCCCCATAACTAGAGGGTAGAGCGCTTAAACCAGTAGGATTTTGGATCCCCAGGTAGAGCCTAAGTGTAAAGGTGGGTGAAAAGAGCTCAAGGCAGGGCTGCTCTGTGTCATGTTTTTCCATGTGCGACAAGTCTAGGCATTCGCTGGAAATCCAGACCTCAATTCGAGCCGAAACCCCACACAGGCCTTCTAAGCCCAGGGATTCGGGTGTAGGGTTTACGGGCCTACACCCTAAATCTCAAGTCAAAGCCCTGAGCCCTAAAGCCTTTGCTCGACTTGGCCCAACCTACAGGAGGTGGCTCCGATTCCGTGCGCCGCGAAGCCACTGCTGTCTTTCAACACCTGTTTCGGCCCCTGGGCAGGCTATTTAACTTCTGATTGTCTAGAAGGTCTACTGGAGCCGGATTCTTGCGGTGGCCCTTTACAAACCTTACATGCGCAGTCCATAAACATGTATGTGCTTCATATGACCGAAGAATAATGCGAAGACTCTGCGCCTCAACAGGAAAATGCTCACGCCACAACTAATTCGCAGTGCGAGGTCCCTATAAGCCCCAAAACTCCTACTGTTTAGGTTCAATGTGCGGGATCTGGATTCACGTGGCCGCGCCATCAACTACAACGACGGTGGACTCACTGTCGGGAGACCTAGAAGCCAAGCTTGCAGCTCACGGAGTTAGGATTCAGGGTTTACGGTTCAAACGTTTACGGCTTAGGGCGCAGGGTTTCAGGCTTTTGGGTTTGCCTGTCTTTGTCACCCCTCCGGGTTCCCGAGTGCATTTAAAATGTCCAATAATTAGATACTCGGGTTCAGGCTCATGTTGAGGAGAATGGATATATTGATATATATCTGGGTCGTTATTAATTCGGAGAGTATATGCTAGCTAGTTAGGTACTTGGACCCTTAGGGAAGCCTACACCCCAAAGTGTAGGATTCGCGGGGTTTCGAAGTCACTGGTTGCAGGCTCTGTAGTTTCAGGTCTCAACTTGTAACATATGGCCTAAGGGTCCGTATGTAGTGATTAGAACTAGAACTGGATGGCTGCACGGGCTCCTCTAAGGTTCTGATTAGGGGGCATTGGGACGTTTGGGGGTAGATATGCAGCCTTGGTTTAGAATAGAAGAATAAGGTTTTGAGGGGTAGTATCCAATAATCATACATACTGGGATTCCTATAATGCGATGATCCAAGCACTTCCAGATGCACTACGATTGCGAAAAGAGGTCCCAAACGACCCATAATACGAGGGCCTACATAATCACCACTACTAATTTTGGGGGCTCTTCTGATAAATATAGTACGCTAATTATTCAAGCCGATTCAAGCCCTATGTTATGGATTCTGGTTCTGGGTGCCTGGTTCTACGGCGGTAGTGCATATCGACCATCTGACTTATTGTACCCATAAAGAATGCAGTAGTGTAGAAAATACCTTGACCCTTGTACACCTCACAAACCCTCCTTCGCAAACTCTGCTAAAGCCCATGCAAAACCCGCCAAACCCGCGAAACAACAAGTTGATACGCAACTCCAGAACAACCAGCTTTATGACCGACTTGCTGAGTTCCTTTGATCGTGCAAGGTCATTGACGACGATGACATCCGAGTCAGCTCAGCGCAGCACGCCCCTCTCTCAAATTGCTGAACCCCTTGTTCATTCTGTTCTGGATTTCAGAGATTTTAAACCCCTAAGCCACGCCTAAGCCACACCTTGCTTGTGCCGAGTAGCAGTTCTGAGTCTAGAGCCTGCCCTGATCTTCCAATATCCCTTAATTAAGGAATATGCCGAGAACGATAATGCTGATAATAATATGGCCTTATGGTATATTCCACAATTAAGGTATATATTCGAAGATCTGCTTGCATAAGTGAATGTCATCTTGGTAAACATGTACTCTTCATATAAACGCCATCTTCTGCTAATGACTGTCGTGGCACAGCTTGCAAGACCTCTACGCACATAAATTCCGGCTACAGGGCAATGTCCCGCTCTGCTTGAACATGACAAGGAAATGAGGCCCACTGGGCACTAAGGGTCCATATAGTGCACAGTACCATATATCCCCGAAAAGACGATAAGTTTCAAAAGCTGTAGAGGTACATCATAAGAAGGAAGTCTAAGCAGATGGGCATGTGGGGGTTTTGGTATACTTCGCCCCACAAGTATGTATTCTTGTTTGGATCACGTTTCTAGGTCGCCCCAAGCACAACCCTCCCTGGAGGCACCCCACCCCGTTTTAGGGTACCTAGTTTAAATCAGTAATATAGAAAAGCAGGCACCTGTGTATTAATGACCCTAATGGTACATCGTCATGGCCCTCGTTGAAGCTAAACTTGTGCTGAAGCCTTCGGTTACATAAGTAGCCTGTAGTACCCTTGCAGACCGAAGGCCCAGGACCCTGCACCCGAATCTCATAATCCTAAACCCCTAGAGCGCAACTCCCACACTTAGACTCCGAGAGGGCTTTCTTATGCCTCGAAACCTGCATCTCACGACTTGAAAATGGATTGCTGGAATCCTAAGCCAAAATGTCGAAAATACAGTACTTGCCAAACCCCTTAAAATCCTCTATCCAAACCTTACAAGTAGTAGCGTGACTGTAGGCTATGACCCTTAAATCAGGCGGTTTCTGGATTAGATCCTAATCCTAATCTCAAGCCCCAAAAGATCCTTACAGTGCTCTTGGAGCTTAGGTCGTGGCCGCCACAGCAGAGGCGCTCGGACCAACCCAAACGCAAGATCCAGGCAGGATCCCTTAGGGTCCTGTAAAGGACCCAAGAAGTAGGGTCCCTTTGAAGGCTTAATCATTCGGGTTCCTTTAAAAGGTTCTATGATAATTAGGTACTTGGACTCTTAGGAGATGGCTGTAGCGTTCTGGAAGAGGGTCCTTCTTGGGGTTTAGGAGTTTAGGCTTGTAGGGTTTAGGGTTTGTAGTCTTTGTTGTTTTTTGTTTGGGGGAGGGGGTGTAGGTTACACAGAGGGTCCATATATACGACCATCATTGAGTGAGATCCCAAAAGCCATACTAGGGATGGTGTTTTGGAGCATGGTAGTGTATATGGACTGTCTCGGTACTGGTAAGTGGGTTCTTAGGCATGTGCAGTAGGGGCTCCTTCAATGGACGTCGACACAGGTTCTTCGTAGTCTATAGCAACGTTTGTGGGGTCAGGCTTGGTGTTTAACCCTCAACCCTAAACCCTAAACCCTGAACCCTAAACCCTAAACCCTGAACCCTGAACCCTAAACCCTGAACCCTGAACCCTGAACCCTAAACCCTAAACCCTGAACCCTGAACCCTGAACCCTGAACCCAAACCGAGGTTGTCGGGTTAATTCGGCCTTTACGGCCTAGAGTGTAAGGGCTAAGGATTCATGCAAGTTCCGTCCAAAGCCTTATGGGCAGCAACAGGATGCATGCAACAGGATGCATGCATGGCCCCGGCCCTTAAGCCCTAAATCGAAGTATCAGAACTTGCAAAGTTGTCGGCTTGTCAGCACTCATCGGGACCTGATTGACTCCGGAACGAAAGGCAACCCCCGAACCATTCAACCCCTAAGCTCTGTCTGAACCTACTTTTTTAGGGCTCCTTATTATGACTTCCTTATGTACGTCCTCAAAAAGGTAGGCTATTCCGGGCCACTGTAAACCTTGCGAAGCCACCAAACACCTAAAAACCCTCAATCTCTTCCGACATCATCTGACATCCATGAACCCTCCAGCTCCAAACTTCTATTGCCCCCAAGCCCCTAACCTCCGAACTCTATACAGCAGAAAGCCTTTCCGTCCTTCGCCGCCAGCCGAAGCTTTTCCCAGCTTGGGCGCTTCCTCGTCACAGCGTACGCAAGGCCTAGTGGGTTCAGTGTTCAGGAGGTCAGGGCCTCTTTAATGTTTATAGATTTATGGGGTTCGGTTCTTCGAGGTTTCAGAGGTTTGCGTTATTAGCTACGGGCAGGAAGCCGTTCTGAGACGCTATCTGTCATGATGAGTTGAAGCAGTTTTGTTTTTCTATTCCCGATTCATCGCACACTGCGTTGGTTTGTATAGTTTTTGCATGCCGTGCAGGCGATGCACAGCTAGCAACAATTTCAACAGTTGTCCCCTAGTTGTAGCTACTTAGAGTCTTAGAGCACGATATGCTTCAAAACCCTAGTCTAATCATTCAGGCCGCCTGTAACAGGTGTTCTTGCAGTCTAAGGGTCTTTGTGGCTTGGCGTTTAGAGTTGAGGGGTGTGGTTTTTTGAAGCCATTGTGTTTCGGGGTTTAGGGTTGGCAACCCTCTGACAGAACTGCCCAACGACAAAAGTGTGACTCCCTTGGAGATATGCATGTGGCCTCAATATGACTAGACAAGAAGCAGCCTATCCTCTCAAGGCTCTATTTAAACCCAAACCCTAGAGTCAAAACATGTTCTCCGAGCCTCCAAATGGCCCGTTGTAGACCCCAAAGAATGCACTCTTTTCACACTTGGAGTGTTTAGGTTTCTCGAAAGCCTATACACCCCAAACCCAAAACCCCTCGATGAACCCTAAACCCTAATACTAAACCCTTATAACCCCCAACCCCAAACTCCTCATATAATCCCTAAACGCTACTTTAACCCGAATACTCTACTCTTGTTAGGGCTCCTTACTGTGTTTTCCTGATTAAAGTCCTACAAAAGGTAGGTTATATGGGGTTAAGGAAACCCCAAACCCTAAACCCAAACCTCTCGATGGAACCCTAATCCCGAACCCCTAAACCCCTTATAGATCCATTTGAGGAACCCTGTAGGGATCTCTTTACAGATCTTCTCAAGGAGACCTATCGATCAGGTGCCTGGGCAAAGTCCTCAGCGCCAGCCGCGGCAGAGGCGCTGGTGACCGGCGGCTAAAGACCACCCTAAACTGGGTTCTTGTTAAGTTCAAACCCTTATATAGTGTTTAGTAAAGTTGAGGCATTGAGGGTTTGAGATTAAAGATGCGGGATCACTCGAGGCGTTTAAGGGTCTATATACCCCGGTAAATGTGCTTATCCACAGAGATCTTTGGGTGTCGACAAGGGAGTGCCCCTGGTAGCCAAGTTGCTAAATCACCAGAAAGCCGTGATAAAACCCTCCATCTATGAACCTCTGGAAAACGCTGTAAACCCCCTGACCTTGAAGCTGTAAACGGGCCTAAACCCTGTCCCTTTTATGAAACCTAAGGAAAACCTTAAGTAGCCCGAAACCTTATGAATCCATGTGTGAAACCTTGGAAAACCGGCAGAGCAAAATATGAAAACACCCACCAACCCCAGAAAACCCCAGACCCTGAATCACCAAAACCCTAAACCCTAAACAACCAAAACAAACTCAAACCCTAAACCACCAAAAGGACCTTATCAGCAACAGGAAGAAATCAGACTGTGTGTGTATACATATATATATAGCACATGCAATCTATTCTATTTGTTTGTTTGTTTACCTACATTTTGTAACTCTATATTTATTCCCTCATCGCAGGCTTTTCCGGCCCTACCGGGCGCCCCGAAAAGCAAAGCACAGGCTGCAGGCCTTTCCGGGAAGAAGACAAAGGGTTCAGGGTTTAGGGTTTCGGATTTGGTTTTTAGGGTTTCGGATTTGGGTTTTAGGGTTTCGGATTTGGGTTTGGGGTTTCGGATTTAGGTTTTGGGGTTTCGGATTTAGGTTTTAGGGTTTCGGATTAGGTTTTAGGGTTTCGGATTTAGGTTTTGGGGTTTCGGATTTGGGCTTTTAGGGTTTCGGATTTAGGTTTTAGGGTTTCGGATTTAGGTTTTGGGATTGCGGATTTGGGTTTTGCGGTTTCGGATTTAGGTTTTAGGGTTTCGGATTTAGGTTTTGGGGTTGTGGATTTGGGTTTTGCGGTTTCGGATTTAGGTTTTAGGGTTTCGGATTTAGGTTTTGGGGTTGCGGATTTGGGTTTTGCGGTTTCGGGTTTAGGTTTTAGGGTTTCGGATTTAGGTTTTGGGGTTGCGGATTTGATTTTTGGAGGTTTCGGATTTAGGTTTTAGGGTTGCGGATTTGGGTTTTGCGGTTTCGGATTTAGGTTTTAGGGTTTCGGATTTAGGTTTTAGGGTTTCGGATTTAGGTTTTGGGGTTGCGGATTTGGGTTTTGGGGTTTCGGATTTAGGTTTTAGGGTTTCGGATTTAGGTTTTAGGGTTTCGGATTTAGGTTTTGGGGTTGCGGATTTGGGTTTTGGGGTTTCGGATTTAGGTTTTAGGGTTTCGGATTTAGGTTTTAGGGTTTCGGATTTAGGTTTTGGGGTTGCGGATTTGGGTTTTGGGGTTTCGGATTTAGGTTTTAGGGTTTCGGATTTAGGTTTTAGGGTTTCGGATTTAGGTTTTGGGGTTGCGGATTTGGGTTTTGGGGTTTCGGATTTAGGTTTTAGGGTTTCGGATTTAGGTTTTAGGGTTTCGGATTTAGGTTTTGGGGTTGCGGATTTGGGTTTTGGGGTTTCGGATTTAGGTTTTAGGGTTTCGGATTTAGGTTTTAGGGTTTCGGATTTAGGTTTTGGGGTTGCGGATTTGGGTTTTGGGGTTTCGGATTTAGGTATTTGGGGTTTCGGATTTAAGTTTTAGGGTTTCGGACTTAGGTTTTAGGGTTTCGGATTTAGGTTTTGCGGTTTCGGATTTGGGTTTTAGGGTTTCGGATTTAGGTTTTAGGAGTTCGGATTCAGGTTTTAGTGTTTCGAATTTGGATATAGGGTTTATAGGGTCTAGGGAAGAAGACGAACCCTAAGGATCTAAGGACTCACAGTTTAAGTGTTTTGGGCCGGAAGAACATGCTATATATATATATATATGTCATTTCGGCTATTTTGAGCCCTAGGGTACGGGTTTAGGCTTTAGGGTTTAGGGCTTGTGGTATGTAGAGTTTAAGATTTAGGGTTTCGGGTTTGGTTTTAGGGCTGGCCTAGAGCCCTCAGCTGCACTCGATTATGTCCGAAATACACACCATTTAGGGACCATAAGGATTTTACTTTTATTTAAAGGGCACGTGATCTACTTCCAACATGTACCAGGTACGCGACATTCGATGTTTCCCCGTTGTTCTGATTAAGAGGTTTTGATGTACGAATATGGTTCATAGGCTTTAAGGGACCAACCTATATCTGATACATGGGCCTCGATTGTTTGCAGTAGCATATCCGGGTAGTCACCAATGCGTGTATACACTATAACATACCACAAGCGCTCATTCTAGTCTTCCACCCCCCCCCCCCAATATAGATCCCTGAAAACACGTCGGTCAGGAGCCCTACTCTTATTATCCAGGCCCCTGTATTATGGAAGCCATCTTGTTGAGGGGCTCCTTCTTATGACTTCCTTATAAAGGTCCAGTAGGTAGGGCATATAGGGAAGACACCTCCCTGAGGAGCTGCGAAGGCAAAGCCGAAGCCGAAAGCAAAGGAGCCACCCTTCGGGCGTGGGCTCAGGCCCCCACTCGCCCAAAGGCTCCATGTACCTTTATAGTAGAGACTTAAGCCTTAAAGGGGTCCCTAGATAGGTACTTTAAGGCCTAAGTATATACTATACGGGTACATGGAGCCTTATGGCTCGCTGCTGAAGATTCGAGATTTAGGGTTCAGGGTTTACCTTAACCCTGAAAAACCTACCTCTTTAGGGTTCCTTGTTTTGATTTCTTTATATGAGTCCTTAAAAATGTAGGTTCTTCATGGTTAAGGTAGGGGCTAAGGGGTTTAGGGTGTAGCAGGGTTCAGGGTTTGGGTTCAGCAGGGTTCAGGGTTTGGGTTTTACGGCGAGTTTACGGTTCAGGGTTTAGGGTTTAGGCCCTTGCGCCGTTAGAGTTTCGACGGGGCAGAAGTAGGTTTCAGTTTAGGAACGAACTACATACTGTTGATGGTATAAATCGTGCATTACCAATTAAGGACCCTAAGCTATGGAAAGTATGGTATGTTCCTTACTATGGGTAATGCAGGATTTATATTATAGATCCCTTAAAGGAGCCCCTTAAAGGTACCCTAATAGATCCCCTTAAAGCAACCCCAGGCTTTAAATCATCAACCGTATTAAGGGACCCAGGGCGAAGATGACAACAGTTCGTAGGATAGTCTCCATTGTAGTTCCTTTTTTCGGTTTAACCATTTATATATTAAGGATCCTATAAGGTAACCCCAAAAAGGAACTACAATGGAAACTATAGGTTGGTGGGGAGAGGGCTGAGATCCCTGAACCTTTGATTTTGCATTTCACGGAGCTTCGAGCATTTTACAGAGGCTGATACTACATATCAATGTAAACCCTGAATACTGCGGTCTTTCTCCATCTTTTCCCACCTAGACCAAGTCTTAGAGATCATTCAATATAGCGGTCTAAATAACTACCTAGGCTCTTTCGGGCTTCCTTACCATAGTTATAGTAAATTGGGCCCCAAAACCCCTATTCTAATTATGAAGGCCCTTATTTTTCGCGAAACGCTTACCAGTCAACAGCGGAACCCCACACCGTTTTCGAACTTTAGAGCCCTGAACCCTGGACACTTCATTAGGTTTGCTTTCCTGCATCCCCAAACCCTACGAAATAGTGGGTTATGACCCCTTGGTTAGAGGGTTTAACCCCTAATACAGTAGGGTTTTGGATCCCCAAGTAAGTTGTGCATGAAATCCTTGCAGGTGTGCTGCCGGAAGGCGTCTCAGAAAGCGGGCTTAAGAGCTCCGCCAGAAAGACCTTCTGTGGCTGTTACGCCGCGCAGACGACTGTGACAGTGGGTAAGACCGCAACAACAGTGGGAGAACGGGCGTAACCATGACCAAGACCGCAACAACGGTGGATGAGTGGCTGCAGTCTTCTGCATTCTATGCAGCGGCTGATTGCCGAAGCGAGGGACTTCGTCCGAGGAGCATCTTCTCACGACGTGAAGTCACTGATACCCTCACCGGCAGAGGTCCGGCTTCTGGAAGATTCGTGCGCAAAAAAAAAGGTCGAGTCGACGGCCGCGGGTTGCATATGTCATGTTTTCTTGGGTTTTAGCAGGACACGCGCAAAGCTTTGGTGTCCAGCAATGGCTGGATTGTGCTGAACATGCATCATGTTGTCACCCCTCCTCAGCATAAAATCTGAGAGACCCCGCGCAACTTTATAAGAACCAACATGATGAAACAAAGCTTTTCGAACTCTGAACCCTAAGCCTTAAACGTATAATTACACGAACCTGTAAGCCTTCGATCACTGACTTTGAACTGGGCTTGGGTTGAACCTACCATACTTGGAGGATAATGGGACTTAGTAAGAACAGCTACAAGTACCTTAGCTGGGATTATATTCAGTTTTAAGTATAGTTACCTTGTTTGTAACCCTATTTACCAAGTCCCATGATCCTACAGATAAATAGGGGCCTTGATAATGATAATATTGTTTCGACCTACTGTGGTTGCTACTTCCATGCTTTATAGCAGTCTGTTCGAACTGCTTTCACTTCCTTGGGTAGTGAGGTTCAAAGACCTTACACCAAGAGTTTTTGGAGGCTCAATATATAGAGGCTGGAAAGAAACATCAATAATGCTATTCCTGAGGGTGCCTTATTCTAATTATGCTATACCACAGCCGCAAATTCCCATTCCAATTATTCAGGCCCCTACGTTAACTGGTTTTCTTGACCCGACACCAAAGCAAAGTCTGCATCATAACGTGGCTCCTGAAGCTAGACCCTCCATCTACCCTTTATTAGACCCCAAATGCCCCTTATGTGGGACCATAGACCCCAATTTGAGGGTACAAGGAGGGTCCTGGAAGCTTCCACCGCTCCAAAAGGCAACCAAAGACCTGGGCCAAGCCACCGTGAGCTGGAGCGCACGGGCATCCGGGCATCCGAAGAGCCAATGACTCCTTAATTGCAGATTATAATTAGACCTTAA